CCTGGCCAGTTTCTTTGCCTTTGCTCAAGTGCCAGCCAACAAAGTCAAGACGGTTACTGAGATTCTTGAAGAAAACAACATAGAGAGTTTCTTTGCTTTTCTATTCCCTTAAGCTTTCAACACGCGCGACATGGAACACTGGAGTATTTGATTCGGAACCGGGCTCAGATTAATGGCAAGCGCTCGTTGCTACTACGTCCATCTCGTCAATTTGGAAGAACAAAGGCTCTGAACTGCTGCTGTGGTGGTTGTGTCCAACAGTGACAATGACTGTGAAGTTCAAGTAATGCCAAAGAAAAAAAAATTCTTTCATCATCTTCCTACTCAAAAAAATCAATACATGTCTAATCATCTATACCTTATTTGTTTTAGTCTTCCTTTTTTTTGTTTTAAAAAACCGTATTGTTCTCATCCACTTCCACTCAAATAAAGTTAGATACGTGTCTCATCAAGTATTTAAGAGATTTATACTTGTTTTAGTCTTATATCTTTATTTGTTTTACAAAAATTGTATTGCTCTCTTCCCCAAAAGCATTATAATCATTACTACAACTTACTACTTGTGCAGTTCTAGTTTTGGGAGTGTACCCCTTCCCGGTTTTTGTTTCCTTGGTAATTCAAAGCTTGGTTTTGTTGTCTTATTTTGAGCCACCTATGACCCAGTACCAATCACTTGGTAAAGTGATTGGTAACATGCCGATGACCCCAACATATGAGATTTTTGGGAGTTCATCCTTGACTCTCACGCAAAGAGTTTTAATAGGTCTGATCCTTTATAATGTCTGACAATCCAAAGTCTTCATGTTGAAAGACTTTGATGGCCTTCCAAATAGGAGACTCATGGAAGTCCATCCTTCTCGGTCACACAAACTGTTTTATAAGAATCGGACCTTGCATTTTTCTGATGATCCAAAGTCTTGATATCGAAACAGTTTGATTGGCTTGCTTCCTCTGCCGTGAGATTCTTTTGCGATGTAAAAGTTCACTTAACTTCAACTCAGACAAAATCAGAGTAATCAAACGTCTGATCTCAACTTGTGCTTGCCACTAAAAGTCCTATCAATTTGTAGGACTTTTTATGACCGGCTTCAAAAATCTGAACTCAACATACGTGAACAGCAAAGTTAAGACTCAACAAGGTTGTAATTACTTTGAGCACTGAACATTCTTCACAGCACAGAAAGCCCTTTTGAAAACACATTTGTTAGAAAAGTAATCAAGCTAAAACACTTTTTGAGTAAACACAAGTTGGACTAATTCATCAAAGGGATCACACAAAATTATGATAGTACAGAAAACTACATAAATCAAATTATGAGTAAGAAAACTTTGAGTGACTAAAACAAGGAATGACACACAAAGGTTTGAGAGAATATAAATCAAACTTGAGCTATATGAATTTTTGAGTAGGGACAATTTCACTAAGTGGGGTGATAGGGCCAAAACAAAGACCTATCCTACTCTTCCTCATCAAATCAAGCATTGTATTGCATCCAATAATGCCGAGTAATGTAGCCACTGTGTGCAATGAGTGGTTGCAGTAAGGATCGAGTCATGACCCAACCCGCTAGTAAAAGTAAGTATTCAGCCTTATTGTCTTCAAAATACCATTGCTGTTCACATTTAAAGTGGGCCTTCATACAATGAAAGCCAATTTTGATAGGATTCATATCAGGGGAATAAGCCGGTAGGTAGATGACTAGGATTCCGGCGTGTCGACAAAGCTCAAGGATTCGTCCACCGTGGTGAACTCGAGCGTTGTCCATGATCAACACTGAGTTACGAGCAGGATAAGGGTTCATAACAGGAAGCTATAAATCAGAAGGAGCAAAGAGAAGTCAGGAAACATTACCAAAACAACGCATAGACATGTGCAGGCAGCTTACCAAGTCATTTTTGAGGAAGAGCTCAACATCAATCCTGCGGACCGGGCCTTCAATGACAGTACCAGCTATCATTCCCTGCTTGCTGACAGCCGGCAGTAAAGTCCAATGTGAGCGCTTGGTTGGTCGCTTTTCACGCACGGTGTGTGATCCACGCTTAGCGTAACTACGTTTTCAAGATGTGTCGCGGCCCACTACCCCGCTTTCATCTGGAAGTCAAAACAGGGGTTAGTAATCACATTGTAGACAGAAAACCGAGCAAATCAAGGACACACCAATAAAGACAAAGCATTCCAGCAGTATTCCAGCCACCCAAAACATAAAATCTGTCCTTGCTTCCAGGGACTGATCCGGATGAACCCCTTGAGTGACCAAGAGAGACATTCCTAAACGGTTGTGAATTTCACGAGTTATAGTTGCACGAGACACGTCTAAACCAGTCAATTCCTTGAGTTCGGATTGCAACTCATCCAAATAGATTGAGGGGCGATCAGTCACGAGGTTGTAGAGGATGGCAAGATTCTCGTTAGACAAAGCATGTGGTCGGCCAATGGGGTCATAAGTTTCTGGATCCTTGATGACACGGTTGGTGAGAAGGAAAAGGTGTTTCCATTGATAAATCAAAACATCCGAAATCGAAGTTTGTAAGCGCAAGTTGATATTGGCAACAGAGACATCTCCACCGCCAACTGAGTAGCCAGGAGCTTGATTTGCTCCGAGTAAAGGACAAAACCCATATTGAGGGTAGAACAGATGGTAGGATAGGTTTGGAACCAGAAAGAGGAATTGGGATAGGAATCACTGAGCATTCCGTGATGAGAGGGAGAAACGGAAATGGTGGCAATAGGGTTCACCCCAACCAGAAAAAACCATCTAAAGGAAGTTAAAAAAACAGAAAAAACAATCTAAAGAAAGAAAAAAAAAGAAACACCAGAAAGACGATTGATCTTCTGCAGATTGTCAGTGGTGTGATGGGTTAGTTGACAGCCCGGCCAGTTGAATTTTGGCCGGTGCTGCGCCCCGCACGGGCCAGCTTAGGATTTTTTTGATTCCTCTGATTTCAAGCCTTTTGAAATTCTGTGTACTCTTCCGTGGTAATAGGGGGTTTCAAGTCAGGATATTTTTGTGATTTTTTTTTATGAAACAGACAAGTTTCTAAAATTTTACGGCATTTTTCTTCTGCTAATATGCGGTCAACAGCATCCGGGACACCTAAAAAGGTGTCCCCAATTTTTGAAATACGTGAAATTTTATGGTCGCAGACAACTTGTTTTACAAGCAGACACAAAAAGTTTACGTCACCCCCTGGGCCCAACCAGTTCACTAACCTGAGAGGTGTACTGCAGAATCAAGCTGTTCGGGGCCTGGGGTGAAGTAAACTTTTTGCGTCTGCTTGTACACGTCCCCATGCCTAGGAATTGTAATCATTGGGGTCAGGACAAACCCTAGCCCGGCTGCTGCACAACTTGAATGATTACGTAAATCACTTGGAGGGGACTGTACAGCAAAATACTGTGAATTTTTTGACTTGAAACCCCCTAATGTTGTTTAGAAGTTGATAGAGCAAACAGGGAGAAATGGCAAGATAGATCTGATCCCCAATGCATGTGATGTATGGTGGATTGGTTTTGTCAATCACTATGGCCAAGATGCCATAATGCTCTAGGAGTCTCTTCTTGATCACTCATGGCATGTTACCCATTGGTGTGAGGACACTCAGGAACAAGATTTTGAGGATTCATACTTAGCTACTCTACTGCCCATTTTTTGTGACTTTGCATTGAAAAATTTGTTTTTTTTGGGTAATGATTTTTGGCCCCTCCCAGTCCCAACTTGGGAGAACCCAAAAAACATGGCCACAGGTGGGTTAAGGCTTCAAAAGGGCTACAGAGGGGTTTGACTGTATCAGTCAATTGAGGTTAGGTTTAAGCAAGCTTCAACAAACGTCCAACGGCGACTTGGCAAGCAAGGGGTGATCGGTCAAGCTGTACCCGCTCAGCTGTCTCCACATGTCCCCACAGGCACCGATGCCACATCTCAGCACATGGACTCTCGAGTCTCAACTCATGATACGGTAAAATCATGATCCATCTCACAGCAAAATGGATGGATTTAGTTGCATTAGTGGATCCTTGCAGATCTACAAGCTGTGTAAGATAACACAGCTCGGTTCGTTATCAAATCAAAACAACTGTCCAGCCAAGTTGAAGTTGCCGATCAAGTTTTGTTAATAAGTGCCAAAAAGTTTAAAGAGCTGTACACATTTTTTTCCTTTTTCAGTTCACAAGTTCTTGTGGAGAAAGACATTGATCGACCGAAGCTTGTTTCACAGTTTGTGGTTCCAACTTCCAGGCGAGGTAACCGTAGAGCGCGAGGTCCACTTACAAGGGAATCTTACCGGATCATTTTCTTTCTGCGAAAGAAAGACGAGAACCTACGAGAACGTCGCGGGAGGTTTTCGCACATCGTTAAGCACGTCTGTCCGGAAATCAGTTCACTTGGGATCTTGTCTCCTCCAGGCTTCTCCCTTCTCCTTAAACTTAGCAAAGCTCACGTGTTAAGTCTATGCTGTCCCTCCTTCCTCGGTGTTTCCCTCGACTTCCTAGTGTTCGTCCAGGTATGTAATATTGAATTGGATACAATAAGCTTCAATGGAGGAATTGGTTGTAAAGCCCAAAGTGAGTGTGGAGAAGATATTTTACATAATTAATTCTACAAACTCTTTTGTGATAAATCTCGCTGGGAAGCATGAGGCGATGTGATTGATTGATTGATGAAGCTTAAACTGATTCACACAGCTTTGAAAGTTTTGCTTGTTCTCATGACAGACTTCGATAAACCAGTGTCATAAAAAGGTCCACCAAGGAAGAGAAGATCTATTTTCTAGTGTGATTCTACTTAAGAAGCAACTTCTATCCTTAGACTTGAACTCTTCTCTTCGGCTGTCTTACTTATTTCCCTTTAAATATCCCATTTATATCTATACTCATCTCACAAGCATTCACATCGATTGAGTGATTAAACTACATTGAATTGATACCTCGATTGTTAGTCTAGAAATCCAAGTGACAGTCTTTCTTATTCAAACCTCACGACATCAACTTGTAGTCTAAAAAAATGGCCCGCGAAAAGATTGCCACACTGCGCGTAAGTTAAGACAAGTCGGATCGTATGATTCTGAATAATATAGAATCTTACCTTCTCGGCAATCGTCTGATATCCGACTTTCGCTTTTTTTGATTTTGATTTGATTTCTATCAGGTATCACTTTCTGAATCTGCTCGGGTACAACTTTTGACTCAAACCAAGGAATTCGATCGTAATATGACTGATCCATCTCAACTTTCAACATCAAGAACTTCAATGTCTTCATCCTGTTCATCTTTGTCTTCTCGTACTTCAAACGTACCATTTCGAGAACTCGAACCATCCGTAACTATTGGACCGATGCCTATTGATAATTTCATGGATGAGGTTAGTCAACCAATCTCAAATGAATTCTTTAATCAACACCAAACATTAATTTTTTTTGTTGATTTCTCTCGGAATAAAAGATATCAGAAATAGCAGCCACATTAGAAAACCTAAATTCAAATCGTCATATCTTAGGAAAAGATACAGAAGAAAGTTTAAAGAGTGGAGAAAGATTAAAACGTTTACTTAGAAGAGAATCAGATCCGAATCTAAGTGTATCTAATTCCCAAGAAAGAGCATTAAGAACTGCTCAGATTCATGCATTGAGATGGCGTTTGGCAGATATCATACCTCAGTTAGTGATTGAACTCCATTAAATAATACATATCTTTCTAGAAATATAGTGTGGGATTATACTCATTTGTGGTTCTTTTTTTTCTGCGAAACTTAACGATATTGATATCGTTGTAGATTGGAACTTGATCATGAGAGTGCTTATAGCATGACTCGAGATAATCTGAAGACAACCTTGAAATTAGTCGTAGGAGAAGAACAATCTACAGAGTCCAGACTCGAAAGTCTCTTAAAACTCTCGCCCGATGGACTTGAATGTTTCCTAGCTAAAAGCGTGAGCTCAATGAAATCATATCCAGCCAAACCACATCGTTTAAACGAAAGAGACGCGAATATACTGATACTGTTTATGTAAATCGTCAATCTTGGAGATTAGGTACGAGAGTCTAGAGATTATCCAACATCAAGAGAAGCGGCAATAGAAGCAGTAGAATTGTTAAGAGAGTGTCATAGGATAGAAGTCAGTTCAAAAGCACTTGCTCAGCTATCAGAAGATGTAAGTCTTATAAGTAGCTTTCTTACCTAGATCTTGAGTACATCACAGTACCCTGAAATCTGATTTTATGGAATTCGTTTTCAAATTAAGTTACGAAGTTTTGATCTTCAAAAAACAGGAGAACTAGGAGAAAAACATAAAATTGAAAAAAATATCGAAGTTGGAAAAACGGATCAGTCAGTTGAAAAATTTCTAACACGCTTTACGTGATCAATTCTTAAAACTTTCTAGTGCTGAACATCACTAAAAAAACCCATTGGTTTTGTTTTTATTTTTTTATAGATCAAAGATTGAAAGGTATTCTACTACTAGGTACGAGTGGATCAGAAGGCATATCGCGTATTTTTATATAGGTGTGTTACTTAACTAAATCTTCCAGTACACGCCTATGATTCCTTCCTAGCATTGTCTCGAAGACCTTTTAACTGACATCATGCTCTGAATACTCTTTTTCTAGGTCTAGTGGTATTACTAGGTAAGCAACTGCATCAATGCTTTTCATCATAAAGTATCTGACACTAACACTTTTTTCATTGATTTTCTTTTCAGCTGGAGCCGTCATTTCTGCTATCTTAATTGCACTAGCAATAACCAATCATGAAAAGACCAAATAAAGTTCCCGCAACAAAACTTAAAGCTATCATACCCTAGTATCAATTTGTATATGATTAAAACTATTAAAAGTTCTGAGAAAAGTTAAAAATGTTCATTGTGGTTTTTTTCTTCATTATTGATTTGAGGTTTTTTTTCTTTCGAGAGATTTGTTGTTTGTATTGTATTATTATTATTTTTATTAGATTGTTTGTTTCGTTTGATCAGATGGATATTTTTGTTGTCTTCATAAAAATATAATCTTATTGATTTATGAATTTCAAGTCATGGGGGTACTACTACCACACTACAGGAAATGCCAGTAAGTTTTATCGATCTCATGGATCAAAAAATGCTAGGATGTAGTAACATAAACTCATTCTACAACATATATGTTTGAGAAGCTTGACACCAAAAAGATTAGACAACAATTCAATTTCTCCTGAGCTTTTAAGTTGAAGAGATATATATTATCACTTCTACCACCCATTCCATTCTTTAGCCAGACTTTCTCAAAATAATATGAACCAATAAAAATTTGTGACAAACTCAAGATCTTCTCCGCAGCTTCGCATCAACACTAGTGAAAAAAGGTGCCCACATTCCACGCAGCTTGTACATGCAGATGAAAGTCAGTCCATAGAGATGTATGAAGAAGAATTCATTGATTCCTCAAAGGCGTCCTTCAATGATATGAATGAGATTCGATATACTTCACGAAGAAACAAAGACGAAATTGAACCAATGAGGTATGTATGTATGTACCACCGGCACCATCAAAACTTCAAAATCGGTTAATCAAATTAATCAAAAACCGCTCCAAATAGTCCAAACAAATGTGAAAAGAGAAAAAGGAAAGAAAAACCATAACAAAAAGGTTTCAAAAAAAGGAGTGAATTAATAATCATAAATTAAAAAAATTAAGGAAATCAAAACAGAAAAGCATCAAATGGGTTTCTCAAATCCGGCGATGATTAAGTCAAGATAGGTAAATCAGTACGTCTACTTAATCCAACTGATCTTTGACCGTTTGTTTCATACCTTAGAGCAAGATACTGGTTCTAATAAAAAAAGCAAAACCCCATACAAAAAAAGTAAGTTAATCAAAATGATTCAAGAATTGCCGGTCCAAAATCATGAAGTTCAGAAAAGAAAGAAAAAAGTGAAACACAAACCTTAATGAATGTATCACCTAAGACTACAAATCCTTCACTTCCAGATTGGATACCACTATAACAGATTCCACTTTGATCATCAGTTCTCGGCTCATTTAGAATAGATTGGTAAGCTAAATCTTCAGCTGGGATCACAAATTGAAGACTTCCAATTCCGAATTCAAAAAAGATATTAGGGGAAGCAGGAGTTGAAGTTGGGCTAGAACGAGCGTGTAGATGATGTTTACGATGATGTCTGCTATAGAACTGGTTGGAGGTATGAGATCTTTTTTTGAGATTAAGAGGTAGACTGTGGCCGTGTGGGGGAGAAACTGTCTTGACCGGTATAAGTGATTTCGAGTCAAGAGGGCCAGGGGATGTGTGATCTGATCGGTTATAAGTAGATTTTTTGTTGGACGGGTTGTGGGTTGAGCATGGTACCATCCAAATCCCATTGTCTGGATCAACAACGGAACCAGGGATTCTTTTATGAATTTCAGCAGCCGTAGTTTCGGAGACTAGTGTTAAGGTAGTCTTGAAATCATCAGAGATAAAGGATAAAAAATAAATCAGTTGATTCGGTCACCTCAGCTTGCGATCATAAAGTTGTGAATATTTTAACGGTAGGAAGAAACTTACACCAGTATCAAGGATAGCTCGAGGGGGATCATTTGGCGACATGACATTGGATCCATTGACATATATACCAGTCAGATCCACACCCCTACAAGCACACCAACGGCATCAGTACGCGTTATCAAATCCTTAGTGTAACCATTAAATTCCTCAAGATCTCACCAAAAGTTATGACTAGTAACATTTTTCCAAACTAAATCCTCACGAATCCATTTCTTACTAATCCCACCAAACTTAAACTCACCTAAAGCTGAACCCGAATCATATTCAAGTTCTTTAACTAAAGCGATTCCAATAATAGGTTGATCAAGAGTTTGACTATTGACCAAATTAGTAAAAACGCCTTTTGGATCATTGGTAGTAAAGACAGAAAGTGGATCAGGTCCTATACCCATCAATCCGTCTACTGGTAATTCAGCCCAATCAGAAGAAACCATGGTTGCTAAACCAAAGGTTTGATTGTAAGCTTTAATAGAATTACCAATGCTGACTGTATCCTTTACTAACTCTCCACTAACAGTTGAACCATCTCCAAAAGTTTGATCAAATTTGTTTTCTGATAAAGGTGTACTTGTAAAAGAAGTAGATTGGTCTGGTTTGAAAGTCGTATGGTTTGTAGTTGAACATGTTTTGCAAGCTTGATCGAATAGAAATAAATCGGATGATCCTGAATCGAGATTAAGACGAAACATTTGAGCTGGAGTTCCGACTGAAAGAATTGTTGACCACTGAGTTCAAATTCGAAAGACCATAACATTAGATTTATCTTCTATGAGCTCCTCATCTCATTCAATTTATTCTTTACTTACGGCTAGATCTCCATGAAAGCTTTCAGTCTTCACAGTTGCAGTACCCCAATTAGGATCCACCAAAACTCCAGAAGACCCCACAGACCGTAAAGTATCAAGCAAAAGCGATCCAGGTGAATGAAAAACATCCCCAGTCGTTTTCAAAACCGATGGTAAGATCAAACCAAGTCCACTTCCTAAACCTTGAAGAGCTCTTGTTTTCCATTTAAGATTTTTCGAACGAGTTGGAGTTGGTTTAATTAAAGTCTCTTTAGTTTTTTTAATTTCTAAAGGTAATAATGATTCAATAAGTGGATATAAATCTGATGATGATCGATTACTATTCAAAAATTCAAATAAACCATAACGTGCAATTGATCTGGCTATCTGTAATTTGGGACTAGATGTGATAGGCGCAAAAAGTGCTTCAGAAGTGAATGTCCTATATATATATATTTTTGAAATCAGTGCTAGTCAAAATATAATAGAAAGCTTCACTTTTCCTTAAGATTTTGAATCTTATGGTAACCTACTTCAGATAAAAAAAAATCAATAAATGACTCTAGACTTACTGGAGATCCATGATATGAGAAATGATGAAAGATATGATACTACGACACTAATAAGTAGTCCAAAGACGCGACCTGAATGAAAGACTTCAAAGTTCTTCGAGACCAAAACACGCAAAACACACACACACACAATTAAAGAATGAAGTCCTACTTGATGTTGAATTTGAAATCACAACCAAGTAAACCGTATAAATTAAAAATGGATAAACAATCAAGACACAAACCAAAGAAGAAAGATAAAGATGGGATTGAGATCATGTTGGATGTAAAGTTTGAAGGATAATAACATCAAACCAACGCGATGGTGAGTAAGTCGATTCAGATCTTGGAAGTTGGTTCTTAGTCATCTTGAGGGAAAAAATTAAGGAACACCAAGGGTTTGGGACGTGGGTTTGAAAGATCGTTTGTCAGTGTGATTGGACCTGGGACCTGAAGATATTGAGAAGGATGTTTTGCTCAGATCGAGAAAACTTGGTTGGTTTGTTGGTACTTTTGGAAAGTTGGAAATGAAATTAGGTGTGCTCGAGTTTGGAAAATCGTGCATATAAATGGGTAAAATTGTCTTTGTAAAAAATGCTGATGCCTGATCTGATACTATTACGCGGTAGAAAATCTTATCAAAGAATTTGGATGACCTTGATATTGACAACCTCAAAGAAGTTTCGTGTACAAAATATTTAGACACCTCAATGAAATCTTTTATGCTTCATTATGAGGGCTTGGTCTGGATGTGATGAAATTATATCCAATTCTTGTAAGAAATAAACAAGAAGACTGATCCACATGATAGATAATAAAGCTGAACATTGACCAAGAAGTCTATCAAGTTGTGAGAATTTACTGAAGACTTGCTGAGCAATCAAGAGTTTTTGAAGAAGAACTGATGGATGAGTGCTGCGCGGTCCAGAACGGCGGGTCTCGGGCCGGGTCTAGCTCGATCATCACGATTCACAAGTTGAGGAAGTGGATCAGCGCACTTCACTTTATCCAACTTTAAAGCTCAACTCAACTACAACCACATATACTCAACATATCAAAAGAAATCATATCAAAATGGTAGAAAGAACCAGACCACGACCAATTTCAGTTGATCGAGAAAAAGTTAGTCAACAATGATCGGTTCTTTCTTTCTCCAAAACCACTCGTTTTTACTAATCTTGGTTTTTTTTCATTAGACTTGTCCATTCTTACTAAGAGTGTTTGTTAAACCTGGATCACATCATGATATAGATCGAGATTTTCAACTTCCAGATAAACTACCTATACCCAATGAATCTCAACTTTATGCATGGTAAGTTTAAAACCCCTTCGATCATTATTCATCGTTTCTGTCATACCAAAGTTTCTTAATATTTGCTTTTTTACAAACACAGGAAAGATACCACCTTACGTGATATTTGTTTACAACTTTTAGAAACCAATCCGACCATTAAACTCAGTACGAATCCAAAGTTTTCAATCCGATTGATCTTTCTAGACACACCACGAGAGATCAATTCCACAAATTTCGCTCGATACAAGTCTCAAGAACTCGGTATAATCTTTTCAAGAGACCTTTCACGTGATCAAAGTTCAGGTTCGATTCCAGGTCCAAGCACTCGTACTTTACAAGAAGTTCAATTCATGGTTGGAGATTATCTAGACATAGCTCTCTTACCTACTCATCCCACACCTACCCCAAACTTTTCACCAACCGAAACACGTGGGTTTGGAATCCGAGGTGCTGCAGCTTCTGCCAATGCTCGTAATCCTCCTTCTACTTCTTCAGCTCTAGATGGTCCAAGATGGGGACGTCCAACTTCTTCCAACACATGGGGTGCTCCATCCTCTGGACCGGCTCGTTGGGGTAATCCAAGTGATCGTCCAAGAAGTTCGTTCGATTCGGTTCGTGGTCGGTCTTCTTTTAATGGGAATCTTGATCGTGAACGGTTTGAGAATCGTCACCATCATAATGGGAATAATAGAAGAAGACATAGTCGGAGTAGAAGTCCTAGTGTGTCTAGACGTGGTGGTGGTCGAGATTATCCTCGTCGAGGGGGTCGTTGAAAAGTATTACATTAGACGATTGTGTGCCGATCAAGAATTCAAAACCTACCTATAACAAAACATTGGATTCATTCTAAAGTATGATTCACTCCTTGACCGTATGACAAATCAAAACTCTACACTGGAATTTACTTTTACAAAGCACATTAAATATGTCTTGAGTTGATGTGACTTACTCAATAGCTATGATGAAAAGTACTCTAAATTGTTTCTGTTCAAGGAAACCCACGTGTAAATTGCTCAAATTCATGTGACTGCATATATCTAGATTCTCTCATCTTGTCAAGTACCATGAATGACCTAAGAAATTCCAACAAAAGGTTTGGTTAATTAGATTTGAACCTATATGTTGTATATAAAAGAGAAGTCAATTTTGTTAAAGATTTTCAAGAGTGAATGTGACTCAGTAGACTTTGAGAACTTTGAGTTGTTAGGTATATCTGGCTCAAATCCTGCTATATAGTGAATGCTTGAGAAGAGAAAAAGACATCGATGTAATGAACCAATCAATTCTAAAATGAGACAAAAAAATAAAAAGATCACCATCACCATTCTTGATCTATACCTTTATGGCTCTCATATAAAACTATGGTGATCACATTGAGATAGATTCATTCAAATATCTGATTCTTAATCTAACAAAAATCACAAAAAGTCATATATTCTTTTCTCTTCCACAAGTTTTGAAAAAAAACATTCAAGAAAAACCGTATTTCTAATCACAAAAAATGTATCTTAATTGAACAAGTTTCCAAAAGCAACCCATCAACTTTGATTCCAAAAAGACAAATGAATCATCATTCCAAAGACCTCTAGTACTTAATCCTTCAAAGTAAGTTCACAAAAAAAACTCAAAAATCTTTCATATGGAAAAAACACTTAACTTTCATTGATTCATTTTAATTATAATCAAATTCAAAGTTTGCGTCTCTTTCTTTCTTTCTTCAAGTTCACCCAATCTTTCAAACAAACAATATGTACATTCAATTTGTTATGTATATATATTTTCTTTTTTTTTCATCTCTGTTCTTCTCTCATCAACCAAAAAAGAAAAAAAAAAACCTTCATGAAGTCTATACCAATTAAAGATTTCTTTAAAAAAAAAAGGATTTCCCCATTCATTAATCTCTACCTTGTCTTTTTCTTAATGATCTTTGAGCTTTTCTACGTTTCTTATACCTACATGAAAAAAAAATCGTAAGAAAAAATCATCCAAAACTTTAAATCAATAAACCATCACGAAAAAAAACAACATGAAAAAAAATTAATGTTAAATAAACTTACTTGTGTACTTTCATTTTCCTTTTCCTTTTTCTTTGAACACTATCCATTCTAATAATCTCATTACATTCTTCTTCCTTATCAATTTGCTTTAACCCACCAAGTTGAGAAGATTGATCAAGTTGACTAATCGAGAATTTAACTTCAGCAAGACCATCTTGGTTTCTTTGATGATGTTTTCTCACCAAAAACTCTCCAAGTCTTTCAAACCTTTTCATCAAATCTTTATCAGACACCAAATCATGTTCAACTTTAGTTTTAGTTTTAGATTTTTGATTGAACTCTTCGATTAAGCTTTCACTGTATGAGATGATCCGATTGATTTGTTCTACATCAAGTTTTATCACCTTTTCTGAAGCTTTCGTATCAGTTTCAATCGTAAGTTTTAACCATCGATTCGACCGTTTATGATGCTTTGACACCTCATCACCTCTAACTGCTTTTATCTTTTCGATTTCTTCTTCTTTGCCAATAAGTTGATCATCAGATGAATTGAATTTCTTTTCGGCTGTTCTTAGTTGATGTCCGATCGTTTCCCATTCCACTACACTGGGCCATCGGATCAATGTTAAGCCTGAATGTAAGAATCGTGCTGCTTGGAGCATGAGTGAGTGTGGGTCTTGTGAGATTTCGGGTAATTTTCCACTCTCGACTCTTGAAGAACAGCTTTGAAGATCTTCTTCTAATACCACATTAAAGTCATTGGAATCGGTCGGAGTAGGAGTAGGATCGGTCATGGAAGTTCCATAAGGTGCAAGGAACCGAATATCTTGTAATCTACCTTCTTCAATCCTTTGTTCTTCTTCCGTAAGCTTTAAATCATCCAGTTTTTCAATACTCGAATGATCAACTTTATCCAAAAGGTTTACTGCAGGAACAGGTGGTGGAACAAAAGCAGAAGAAGTCGCAAGATAATGTTTAAGTTCACCTGACCAATCTGGATCTATTCCATCCGGTTCAGTAATCAAATAAGGAGCATAACCATCTACTGCACCCCAAAGATCGTCTTCGAATCCTTCATCTACTCCGTAATCAGTCAAATGATGTCCATGAGCGCTTTGAGGAGATTTAAAAGAAGGATCAGAAGGTGATCCAACAGTAATATGATCTCGATCCAGTTGATTGTTTGATGAAAGAATTATGTCTGATTCATCTGGATTTGAGTCGCTTAAACTTTCAAGTCTTGATTCTAAGCTAATCGACCTACGTTCAGAAACTGATAATTCGATCTCTAATAATGGTCTTTGTAAAGAAAACAATCGATCGAGTGATAAGACTTTAGGTTTTAAATGTGATAGATGATCAAATGGTAAAGGTACAAAAGGTAATAAAAGTTTCCTTTGATTTATCAATCTAGTATGATGATTTGTTGTTCTTGTAGAATTTGTAGAATTTGTATTTATATTTGATTTAGGATGATGACGATGATGACGACGACCATGACCAATGATGATGGTGGGTTTTTGATCTGGATTTTCTTCTGCTTTTGGTTTTTCATTTTTCGAAGTTGTTGTACTAGTACTACTTTGTGATTCGGTTGTAGTTCTTGTATTTGGTTTTCGATTTCTTCCACTTTCGAATGAATAAGTTCGATTGATGAGATGATGTGGTGTAGTGAGAGTTCGTTTGAATTGATTGATTGAATGTTTTGATGTTTGAAGTAAGATCATGGTTTGAATCGGATGATGATAGTTGATAAGAACTAAACCAAATCGAATAGAAATGAAAGCTGAGCAGACAGGTTGAGCGGCTGAGCCCGTTTTGTTTCTAAACTTCAGTCGGGTCGACTCGATCAAGCACGGTACTACTCGCTCTCATTCATACTCGTTTCAGATTTCATAACCAGCATTTCTCTCATCAACAGAACCTTGGAAATAAACAGCTTCATACTGTCTCCAAGGGCTACTTCAATAACACATGAACGTGATTTCTGAACAAATTCATCCAAATGAAATCCTCACATCCAATTCAAGAAAATCATTATTCAAAACCTCATACATACTGGTTTTACAAAAAAACAAAAAGTGATTAAACACAACCAAAAGACCAAAAACCCTTCATACATTTCATATTACAAAAAAAATTAACCAACTCAATGTGAAAAAAGAAAAGCAAGATCATCATCATTTTTTAGATTCCCAAACACTACCGTTTTCTGGATGAAGGTTTTCGATTTGAATAGATTGACGAATCAAAGTTTCTAAACAAGCTTTTCCAGCAAAGTTTTCAAGAAGTTCAGTACGTTCAGGTGAGATCTATCAAAAAAATATAATTGAATCAGATGAGATTGGTTTTGGATAATGAAAAAAAGGATGTAGAAAAAGTTAAATGACTAACAAATTCACCACCAACTCGACCTGCAAAGGTCATATGTGCAGCAGCAGCTCTAATGATTCCTCTACCTACTTCGAACCCTACAGATTCTTTTGCAGATTGATGAGTGGGTTGGAATTGACTAGGATCATGTGAAGCGATAGCCGCCAAATGAAACAAATGAGGAGTTTCCATCTATTTCGAAAAAAAGTAAAGTGTGAAATGAGAATCTGTTTAAAAAGGTTTGGAGAGAAAGACTGACTTCAAGTGTGACTAGTTTGGGATATTTAGAATGTAAGGTTTGGATTAAATCTTGGTTTTGGTCTAGGAAGTTCGGATCGAGTCTTCCTTGTGATGAATAAAAACTATCACCAGCTGCATGAAGTGTGTTTGATTCGATTGGACCGATTATATCTTTCGAAGACCTACTAAGTTCTTCTGTAAGCTATTTAGATATTCATAAAACCGAAAAACAAAAAGATGTTGGAATCAGTTATCAAGTTTATTATAAAGTAGGTCAGTTAAAAAGATCCCGCGATTTAAGGAAAAGAAAAATCGATTCACATCATCATGAAGTGATTTATCACAAGGAATAGGACAACTAATCAAATAAGGAGATCTTTTACTTTTATCTTCATCAACCCGATGAAAATAATCATAATTAGTATTGATGGCTAAAGCTTTTGAACAAACTACGATTCGACCCACTGGAATCTCAGGTACTAATGTACCACAAGATCCAAATCTATTATATATTTCAATCCAATCCAAATCAATTTAAATTAGACTTTTTTCTTTGAATTGAATTGTTGAGAAAGAATTATTGTTGGGTTTGGGTTTACCTTATGATAATTAAATCTCCCATAACTACTGCTCTAGTTTCCCTAACAAAGAAATCCATCATAGGATACCCCTACCAAACCAACCCAAACCCAAAAACACTCTTTCAAATCAGTCTCCTAAAATCATCCAACTCAAATCGATGATCTTGCAATAAAAATCGAAAATCATTAATAGTTTTTTAAAAACTTACCATTCCAATAGCCACAATCGAAACCGGAACCCCCTTGTACAATCCAGTAAAAGTCGTAAACCCTCTTTGACTAACAAACTCAAACGGATCTGAATCAAAATGTTTTGAAATCCTTTTAGCTCTAACATGATCACCTAAGAAAACCCCCCAATTCAAAACCAAAACCAAAACCAAAACCAGTCAATCAATTAATGAACATTTGCTAGTGATTTCAAAGCGAGAGTTTTTAACAAAAACTTACCAACTGTTAAGATCCGATTAGCTATTTCTCCTTTTTTGATGCCTAAATGATATACTCTTCCATCTGATGTATGAGGGAAATTTGAATCTGCTATGGTTTCTTTCATCTTTGATATCTTGAAAGCCTAGTTGGTTAAACAGATAATTGAGGAAGTTAAATTCGAAGGACAATGATCGATCTTCAGCCCGGGTATGAAAGCCGTACGGGACGGAGCTTGATTGATCGTCGGGTATTATGATGATGTCATCAAAATCAACCTGACCCATAACTGATTTAGAACAAGCAAGTGAGCACTTCAAGATTTCAAGTTTCAAGAAATTCAATTCTTCTATCTTATCTTGATTTTGGTTTTGTTAAAATTGGCACAAATTCCATACATACTTTGGATACATCAAAGATGGTCATGTTGGTTTGGATATTTCTGACCAGATGTGTCATGAAGATGCATATGATGTCATGAAGATGCATATGATGTCTGAATATCTTTTAGCTATATTTATATAATCTCAAGATGTGGAATTTGGAAAAGATCATATCCAGCCATGAGAAATGTGCAAATACTTCTTGGATACCGAAATTCTCAAGGCTATTAAGCTTGTGAAATACAATATTTCGGTATGACCATAACAGTATATACAAATAATTAAAATCCAAGGAGTGTTTTAGTCTTCTTATTTACAAACAGAACAAATCCTCAAAATCAAATCCTTCAAGTCTCAATGACCTCCAAACCTCAAATTTCATTGCAAGAAACCAATGATTTTCAATTACCTCATTCAAATCACTCAAATCACTAAACCAAAACATCTTGAAGTCTCAAAAACTTTTGAAAAAAAATCATTCAAACTAATCGATTCTCAAGCCTTCTTTGATCTTTCAATAAAATAAACTTTTCCAAAGTTTCTTCTAATGGAAGTGCTTGAGCTTTTCCTTTTTGTCCAACATCATCTGCACTTCTAACATTCACTGAACGACTTTCAACTTCTTCACTTCCTACCACTAAATAAACAAAAATACAAATAAGATTCCCATCAAAATCAGTCATAGTCATCATCAGGAATCAAGCTTAAAGAAACGAACCAATAATGAAATTATAAGAAGACACTTCTCCGTTTCGAATCTTTTTAGGTAATGTAGCATCTGTCATATCTGCATCTGCATACAACCCTGCATCCCAAAGTTTCTGTGCCACTTCTTGTGCATAAGCTTTATGAGTAGCAGCGACCGGAATAACGAGCACTTGACGTGGTGAGAGCCAAAATGGCCTACCCCGAAAAAACCAAAAAAACCAAAAAAAAAAAAACTTTAACCAGAGATCATCAAGGCTTGTGAATATCAACGTACCATTTCCCACCGAAATGTTCAGTCAAGATAGCTGTGAATCGTTCTACACTTCCCATAATCGCTCGATGAATCATCACCGGTCGTTTTCTTTCTTCGACTCCTGCTTCTGCACCTTGACCTCCTTGATCGGTTCGATACTGAAGTTTAAACCGTTCTGGAAGTTGGAAATCTAATTGGATCGTAGCACATTGATGTCTTCTTTTCAATGCGTCTGAGATGGTGATATCAATCTATAAATGAAAGAATCAGTTTGAGTGATATTGGAAAAAGCTTATGATTTTTGAAAGTTTACATACCTTTGGACCATAGAATGCTCCATCTCCTGGATCTACATCCCACTCTCCTGGTCCCACAAACTTATCAAGAGCGCTTGACAACCTCTGATGATATATGGAAGCTTCAGCAACATACATCATAGTCAAACGAGAGGACAACATACCTTCTCTGCCTCGTTCCAGACAGCCAGATCACCAATATAGTTATCCGGCCGTGTTGATAATTTCAGTTTATAGGTAAATCCCAGCATACCATATACGGTTTTAAGAAAGTCAAAGATCCCAGCAACTTCCGAGTCAATCTAAGAATCAAGAGGTAAATTAAGTTCAACACACCCAAGGACTGAACGTACAACGATTCATTTCAAAAGGTACTGACTTGATCAGTGGTACAGAAATGATGAGCATCATCTTGACAGAAACGTCGGACTCGTGTTAGTCCACTAAGCGCACCGCTCGCCTCATTCCGATGAACAACACCGAAATCAGCCATTCTTAGTGGTAATTCTCGATACGAACGATCTTTTGAACCAAAGATCAAACAATGTCCAGGACAATTCATCGGTTTAAGAGCAAATGTTTCTTTTTCGATTTCTAACTTGAACATGTTTTCGGAATCTGATAAGAAGATAATTAAAGAACAGGCTCAGCTGTGATTCAAACTATTGAGATAAGCAAAAAAATCAACCAACAGTTCTCCCAATGTCCAGACGTATTCCATAGTTTTGAGTTGTACATGTTGGGAGAAATGACTTCATCATATCCTCGTTTCCTATATTCAGACTAAGATGGATCATCAATACCTGATCATGTGAATCTCAAGGAAAATTTCACACCTTTAGGAATTCAACCAAGGTGTTGTAGATACGTGTCCCATGTGGTAACCAAAAACAACTTCCTGGACTCATTTCATGAAAGAAAAACAATTCTTGATCCTTCAAATGCAAAATCGAGTTGATGGTCAAGACTCTTATCTTCATTGGATTTCAAGAAGAATCCTAATTACCTTTCCTATCTTACGATGATCTCGTTTGGCAGCCTCCTCCAAGAACTTTTTGTATTCAGCCATAGCTTTTTTATCAGGGAAAGAGATCCCATAGATTCTTTGTAATGAATCATTAGCTGAATCACCCAAGAAGTAAGAAGCCGAATTCTATGATATCGATTAATAAGTTCAGCTTGGGTGCTTCAGTCTTGGCTGTGCAGGCAAATGAGGGTCTTACTTTGAGAATCGAAAATGATTTGATGTATCCTGTGTTTGGGATATGCGGACCCACACAGAGATCGATCATTGGACCACATCGATAGACCGTAGTGGATGTTCCGTCAGGAATCTTGGAGTTGATAATATGTGTCTTGTATTTGTTATACTAATGTTCAAACGCGGTCCTTGGTCAGCACAAAGAACTGATAAATGTAAAATGCTAAGAAGTTTTATCAACAGATCTCACGTACCGCAAACATTTCAAGTAGTGACTTTTTAGAGATCACTAATCGTTCAAATCGTTGTTTTTCTTTGATGGCTGATTCTGCCACTTTTTCAAGAGGATGATAATCGGCATTCTGAACTGAACTAGTGATTTCCAACCAAACATTCAACACATGAGTGAAATCCTTCAAGGTTTATAAGTTTTTAAAGATGAAATATGTACCTACCGATCACCACTAACACCCATACCCATTTCATAAAAGAATCCATCATCAGTAGGTGGACCGATACAAAGATGACATCCGTAATGTCTTTCTGCTGCTTCTCCCAGAACATGTGCAGAAGAATGCCAAAACACTCGTTTGCCTTCTTCGGACTCAAAATCAAGAAGTCGCATTGAACAGCTCTGTTCAAGAGGACGCAATAAATCCCATAAGATCGGTTTGGCTACGCCTTCAAGAGTGACCTAATCATCAAGACATTATGAAATCAGTTCGATGTAGGTTGTGGAGAGGTGATTCTGATTCGGGTTTGTTTCTTACTTCTGCAATTACGATTCTTTCGGCTAAGCTCTTGCTGAGACCACGTGCGATTTCCATAGGGGTAGTTTCCCAACTGATGCCTTCTTTAGGTTCACCTGTGGGAAGTTGAACAAGAATTTTTTCTCGAGGTTTGTTCTTTAATTCTCGATCATATTCTTCTTTTAATTGATCCCAAAGTTGTAATCGATGATCGATATAAGGTGGAGGTGGATCTAACTAAAGGAATGCAATGGAATATAAATTTCAGACTGGTTTGATGGTTCAAACATACATAGATTCAAATCATTTGATTTACCTCTAAGGCAGACATTGCTTCAGTGATACCACCATCTGGTTTAGGTTTCTTGACTTTTAGTTTTGCTGGTGGTTTAGATTGAGTAGAAACAGGTGAAGTTGGAGCTGGTGAAGGTGTTTCAGATGACATTGATGAAAGTGAATATGAATTGAATTTGATGATAGGTCGGTATTTGAAGTTAAGTTGTTGAGGATGAAGTTGAGAATGATGAATGAGATTTGATGATATTCTCAAGATTCTAATTTGCATTTGATCTCCGGGTCAAATTTATTTGTAAAACCATTCACTCATTTCACAGTTCTACACACTGTCAAAATTTACAACACGTATGTATATGTAGTCTCACCCTAGGATTTCAGTCAAAAACTATGGTTAGGTTTTGCACACCTCGCAACGGCAATGCATGCGCCCAAGAATGCGGGTGAGGTTGATCAGATGAGATTGATGAACTTCGATGGAAAGAAAGTAAAGGCTTTAGTTCCTCTTCCAATTCCGAAGGTCAATATCACTGGATATTCCCAACAAAGAAACACTCTTGCAAAAATTTCTTTCTCAGAACTTATACATAATCTCATGAGGTTTCCTAGATTTTTAATGCTGGATTAAACAAGCGCGAGTCTTTGAAAAGAAACCTTGAAAAAAAATTAGGCTCCTAAGAAATGCTTTCCTCTGAGTCTAGCTAGAATTTTTGTTCACACTTTATCAGGAATAATATCTTCCACCTACGAGTTATCATTATAAATCACCAAAGGATGTACACCCTGTAGATATCATCTTTATCCAACGAATTTGAGAAAGTTAATATTATTTTAAGTGGTACTCCAAGATGAGAAGATTTTCACCGTGGACAGAGCTTATAGTATAGAGCTTTAACCATTTTAGGATTGTCAAGTTCTTGCTGGTGTTCTTATGTTTTGGTTTCCCTTCTTCAGTTATTGAAGTTTTTATATTGCTTTGGATTTTTGAATCCAAGGACATGACATCCTACCACTGGTAAGTCATCAATTGGACATGATCAGACTAGACTGGGAACCACATTGACCATAGTTTTGAATTCATTTGTTTTTACCAGATCTAATCATACCTCATGTTAAGTCTAGAGGTCAAAGCTTTAGAGCCCAAGGTCAAATTGATATCTCATAATTTCTCGGGTTCCGCATAATGATGACATCACGGTCATCTTTGCCTCATAGACCAAAAGTTTTGAAAGTCAAAACCAAAAGAAAATCTATAGATTCAAATTAACCAAAACTGATCTATTTCTTTTAGATAGAGACACAGTCAAGATCAAGTCTCATAATAATTTAAACTTCAGATACCTAAACTTAAAGAATCTTGTACATCTAAGATTTCACAAAGATGGAAAAAACTGAAAAAAGAGATACGAGAATGAAGTGACTTGGTACATTTACTACTATGCATTTCATTACTACTACTTTATACAATTGACTTATACTCCAGCTACATTGCAAAAAAAAATCAAAAGAAAAAAAGTATACTGTTATCCTAGAAAGAGAGATGATAAAGAAGAAAGAAAATGATTAGACTACTAAAAGATCTTTTCGAGTGATTTGATGAGGATTAGAAGTAGATGTTTTAGTAGTCCCTTTGGCACGTTCTTCTCTTCGATCATAATCACTTTGTCTAGCAAGTCGAGGTGGAGGGAATAAGATATATTGAGGAGTTGATGAAGAGAGTGAATCATTACAAGCTCTCCAAAACGAAACATCACTCCACCCCACGATTCTTCCATTCCCAAGTCTTGAACCCTTTTCAGGTGAAGAAATGTCTGTCGTCGAAGAAGGTCTAAGCCAAGGTCCAGCAGGATGTGGCCATTGGTATCGACTTCTGGGTGTGTTGTTATTTGGAAGGATCGGGACAGTTAATTGATCTTGGAGTTGATCAATTCGGGATTCGGTAATCGCAAAGAGACCAACCGGGAATGGTGATTGGGTATAATAGCTATCCTCATCGTCTGGGAGTGTGAGGATGATGCAAGGGATAGCAAAGGTATATGAGACATGGATCGTCCTTGTCAATGTCTCACGCAACGAGTTACGTCTTCGAGCGACAGTAAGTTGTGGTTTGAGAGGCATGAAGAGAACCTCGTCCGATCCGAAAGAGTTGATGGATTGTGAAGGAGAATCACTGGTGGCTGATGAGGATGGTGATAAGCCAGGTGAGTTGCCTTCACAGTTCGAATTGGTTTCTGTCAAAGTCGATAATGGTCGTTCACGACTAGTGAAAGGAGAGTATTTTCGAAGACACTCTGAAAGCAAAACACTTGCACTTTCCCGACTTGTGGTGGAGCCTTCTTCTGGTACAGTGGTGGGTTTGGGTGCCTTTGCTGGTTTCTTGTTAGATCCTTTACGTTTGTATGAAAGCTTTCGTTTTAGCATTTCACAGGCGGTAAAGTATGACCGACAAGGAACTGGGACCACTTCGCAAACGTCCGAGGAGTTTTCTGTAAGGGTGAATTGGCTCATTTGGACTTGAGAAAAAGATAGCAGGTTAGCGATCATCATGGCGAGACACGATATGATTGATAGACATACCGATTAAGACGTAGGGTTCTGGGTCTTGACTTTGATGGCGGAAAAGATTCTTGATAAACTGACTATGACAGAAACGACGACCGAGTAAAGTTTTGGGCATTATGGAAGGGTGAAGAAATACGCTCGTCAATATGGAGCGACGGATATTGTCACTCGAATGAAGAAGATGTACAATTGATTTTTGTTTTCAGTGGTAGAAGGATCAGGAATTAGGTTTTCACTGTGAACTCGTAGCCTTTGGAGTGGTTGTAGACCTTGGACGAGATAATTGTTGGTGGAACAAAGAATAGTCCACAAGGTATTGTGATGCTATTTTAGAAGGAATGATGAGATTGTGAGCTGTTTTGGGTTGGAAGAGCAAGTTCATAGAGAACGAAGATGTGGGATGACGAACATGAAAAAATAAAGCTTTTCGGGGTCAAGAACGTTTGGGTTGTGAGACAACTTGATTTTAATCTTAAGAGCCTTGAGGGGTTGGTTTGAGTTTCGAGGTGACGTCAAGCGATAAAGTTTGTGTAAGATAGCACAAGTTGAGAAGTTTGAAAGGAAGACCCTTGGTTATATAGCGAGAAGCTTTAGAACCAAAAATCAGGGGTTTTTTAGGACCAAAATAATCGACTGAGCAATGACAGTGGAATCAACATCCAACAGGTTCAGACACAGGGTTGAAGTTAAGAATGTAAAATATCATGAATTAAACAGAGACATGTAGGAAAATTCTTGAAGAGAAGGGTCAGAACTTGTTTTACTGCTGATGACGAAAACGTGAGCTCACACACCGGCTGGCGATGTCCATACCTTCATAGGCTCGCAACCAGAGATTCTGTATGCGCAAGTCTGATGCGAGCTTGGTCCCTGTTGTAACTTTGTTCTATCCCTAGCTTCACACCAACCGATTTCCTCAAGAACTGGTGCACTGTGTGTCCTGATTTCGCCGTAGCAGTGGTTCATGGAATGTAATTATCGTCGGTCAACGCCTGGAATGGCTCTTGGCTACGCTGCTTCATCATGTTGACTCAAACTGCTGGTTTGATATCTTCGGGCTCACGCACCTCGTCAACATGTCTGGTGTGGTGAAATATGTATCCACAAGGTTGCAATAGCGTCAGTTTTCTTGTTGGGAATTCACAATTGTTAAAGTTTCCTCAGTCCAGTATCCTTGAATGCAGCTCATTGCCTGACCGATTGAGTTTGATGCAAATCCAAAACCGGAGGGAACAGATTGCCACTGCTTTCATGATGTGTATGAAAATGTCACTTCCTTCGCGTCCGCATGGCAGACACAGTTAGCCGGCCTTTCCACCGCAAGACCATTGCAGCCCGCAATGCTCAACAAGGACTTGTCCTCGGTATGCCTTTATCTTTCTTAAGTTCATAGCCAATTTCATGCGTTTCGCAAAAGTATGTCGTACCTGGAAAAGCTTCTCACATTGGTAGTAGTACCAAACTATTTCCCCAAGATTCGACGAGGTATAACGGTGAAAGGCACAGTGAGTCCAGGTCACATTTGCTCGCCGACGAGCGCACACAGTCTTCCTGTCTTTCTCAAAGGCCGTTGGTGTGGGCTATTCGACCAGCAAATATAAACTGGACACGGTGGCACTCAGGGTCCCCTGACGTATACATCAGGATTCTTTGATCGTTCATGATACACATTTTCTACAGTCTCTTACACAAAAATCATGGAGCTTGCGGGAAATCAGAGGAGATTGTTGCATTGAGGACCAGCATCCCATGGAGACAAAATCAATCAAAGGGCTGTTTTCGCTCGCACATGGGTTGAGTGATGGAAGTGAGCCCGGCTTAAAATGAACATGAAAGATGAATATCGCAGTGATCAAAACCTTGTGAGATGTAGCCTAGGGTTTTATCGTTGAGGAAAAGATTTGGTTCAAGGGTGGAGTATTGTTATGGTGAAATGAAATCGTTCTGATCGATTGTGATCCTTCATCTGGAGTCGACTCTGGACTTTGTCACACAGCGATCGAGATCTGGATGGCCAAGCCGCAATTCCCATTGTGTGTAAAAAAGAATTACATGTGTATGTAACAGAGAGATAAATTGACCAATCGTAGCCACCCGATTGTTTCCATTCCTGATTACCAAATACCATACCATTTTATAAAACTCAACCTCAGCAACTTATCATCATCATCAACAACCATCATCATCGGAGGCTATGCTTCGTTCAATCTCATCTTCAATCAAACCACCTCTCTCAAAACTTATCAAATCTCAACGTGGCTTTTCAACTACTCAATCATGTTCTAAAATCATCTCAACCCAACCACTCAAAGCTTCTCAAGCACCATCCATCATCTCATCCGGAAAATATCCTATCATCGATCATGAGTATGATGCAATTGTCGTAGGAGCTGGTGGGGCTGGTTTGAGAGCCGCCTTTGGACTTGCTGAGGCTGGTTTGAACACGGCTTGTATCACCAAATTATTCCCTACTCGAAGTCATACAGTCGCTGCTCAAGGTGGTGTCAATGCTGCGTTAGGTAACATGACTGAGGTAAGTCAATTATATCCCAAGCATTACTTTGCTCAACCCTATGCTGATGTGGATTCTCGGTCTTTTACTCTCGATGATCATTCGATCATCTTGGGGATTATCAGGATGATTGGCGATGGCACATGTACGACACTGTAAAGGGTTCCGATTGGCTGGGAGACCAAGATGCAATCCATTACATGTGCAAGGAAGCACCTCAAGCAGTCATCGAGCTCGAGCACTTTGGTGTGCCCTTCTCTCGTACCAAGGATGGCAAGATCTACCAACGTGCTTTTGGAGGTCAATCCTTGAAATACGGAAAGGGTGGACAAGCATACAGGTGCGCGGCTGCCGCGGACCGAACCGGACATGCCATCCTTCACACACTTTATGGTCAATCATTACGACACAATACAAATTTCTTCGTCGAATTCTTTGCACTCGACTTGATCATGGATGATGCCGGTCGATGTGTGGGAGTGACAGCTTACAACCAAGAAGATGGAACGTTACATCGGTTCAGAGCTCATCAAACCGTTCTTGCTACTGGTGGTTACGGACGTGCTTACTTCTCATGTACCAGTGCTCACACTTGTTCTGGTGATGGTAATGCTATGGTCACAAGAGCCGGTTTACCCTTACAAGATTTGGAATTCGTTCAGTTCCACCCTACTGGAATCTACGGTGCTGGTTGCTTGATTACTGAAGGTTCTAGAGGAGAAGGAGGTTACCTACTTAACTCTGAAGGCGAACGATTTATGGTTCGTAGTCGTGATGCTACCCATCCTTTCCGTGAACCTGACCTTGAGAATGTCAATTTGATTTGAACAGGAACGATACGCACCTACCGCTAAAGATCTGGCTTCTCGAGATGTCGTATCACGATCCATGACGATTGAGATCCGCGAAGGTAGAGGAGTTGGACCAGACAAAGATCACTGCTATCTTCAACTATCTCATTTACCTCCAGAAGTTCTTCACGAGCGATTACCAGGAATTTCTGAGACTGCTGCTATCTTTGCTGGCGTTGATGTCACAAAAGAACCTGTCAGTAGGCTTACTATGCCCCTTTCCACCTCTCTTCATTCTTTAGATTTACGCTTGACCTGACATCAATGGCTTTCGCTTATTATTGCCACAGATCCCTGTCTTGCCAACTGTAAGCCCTCTCCCCTCCCAGATTTGGACATCCTTCAAATGAGTCTGAATATTTCATCACTTCCCTCCAGGTGCATTACAACATGGGAGGTATTCCTACCAACTATCACGGTCAAGTGATCACTCAAGACTCCAAGACCGGGGCAGACAAGATTGTGCCTGGGCTCTACGCAGCAGGTGAAGCAGCTTGCGTATCCGTCCACGGTGCTAACCGTCTCGGCGCAAACTCTCTACTCGACATCGTCGTGTTCGGTCGAGCATGCGCCAAACACATTGCTGCTAACCTTGAACCGAACCAACCTCACGCCAAGATTGCTGAGGATGCTGGTATGAAATCGATTGATGATCTTGATCGACTCAGAAATGCCAGTGGACCTAAACCTACCGCCGAGATCCGAAGCGATATGCAAAAGGTGATGCAAAGTGATGCGGCTGTCTTCAGGACTCAATCCAGCTTGGAAGAGGGAGTCACAAAGATCAACAAAGTGGTAGACTCTTTCAAAGATATTGGAGTGACTGATCGAAGTATGATCTGGAACACGTAGGTCTTTCTGTACTGTATTCTGTTGTGATGAGGTTGCGGCCACGGAAATCGAATTACTGAACCAGTCCATTTAACAAATTGTAGTGATTTGGTTGAGACACTCGAACTCCGAAACTTATTGACTTGCGCTGCTCAGACCATGGCATCTGCTGAAGCTCGAAAAGAATCACGTGGAGCTCATGCTCGAGAAGATTTCCCTGAAAGAGAAGATGACACCTGGATGAAGCACACTGTAAGTGATCAGGTTCTTTTGTGTAAAGTCCACTTGATCTTGACTGTTTTGTTTTTTCACAATTGATGTAGTTATCATGGCACGAACCTGAAGCTGGCAAGCCTGTGAAATTAACCTATCGGGATGTGATTAGCAACACATTAGATGAGAATGAGTGTAAGAGGTAAGTACATTCAATATAAAAGAAACTCTATGTTGGGTTTCTTTATAAACTGATGAATTCCGAATTATAGTGTTCCACCTTTCAAGCGAACATATTGAAGAAACCCTCGCAACAAGTTTTCAAAATCATTTTTTTAACCAAAATTCAAGAGACAGACAGAGAGAAGATCACACTAAAAAGAGTTTTTTCTTTAAAACTTTCCATCACTCAAATGTGTTGTGTATTCCACTTTTTCCATATTTTGTTATTACATTTTTTTTTGAGTGTCAGATTTTGAATTTGTTTTTTTTGATGTAAACAATGAATTCAAAAGTTTACACAGGTGATTTCTTTTATGTGCATTGATTTTTTTTCAATTTTGTTTTTGGTTGATTGAAAAAGAAAAAGTTATTTTTTTTGAGCATCTTTTAACCAGAAAGATATTTTGATATATGGCGATATGTGTAGATAATTGATGTTATATTGCATCATTGGTACGGCGTTCATCATCAGGACTTCGTCTATAGCTCAATGATACTGAATGTTGAAGACATTGAAACAAAACTTGCACAATTTTTGATGATTGAATTGAGCAGTAACCTACGAATGCCCAATCAAGTATGTTGAGCTGATAGGAAGAGTCTACTTCCAATCATACAATACATCTCGCACAATTTGGTTTCTACGATTAGGCGTGATGATATCTCAGACTGCTTCCTGCTGATAGAGGTTCATGGCTGGACTTGAGTTGACCAGTATGAGTCTTGACTCCTTGAGACCACACATATGAAAGGACCGGTGGGCAGCAAAAGAGTCCGATACACATGTTGTAAGTTGAATCGGAAGGAATTCTGGTTGAGAGTCTGAGAGAGGAAAACCAAGCGAATTCAAAAAGCATTCCTCAAATCTCCATTATCATCAATCCAAATTAATCAATCAAGCTTTCTATCTGTTACAGATTTCAGTTCTACTTCTTATCTCGATCAAAACCTCTGAACGAATCTTTTTTTGCAAATTTGATCGTATTCAAATCATACATATGGCTGAAGTCAATTCACAGGCACCGGGATCTGTTAACGGTCAGCAGCATTTAACTGTCAAAACCAAAAACCAAAAACTAAACTCTTGTGTTTTCTCATATTTCTTTTTTCTTCATAGAAACCACATCTCCCGATCCCTCGAAATCGGAAAGTCCTGCAGGTATATGTTGAATTTCTCATGTTTCGTTCGAAACGCTGTGCCAATATTGGTTGTCTTGTTCGATAGCAAACGAAGCGAGTGGGCGACCAGATGGTGATTCAAGAGGTTCGAAGCCTTCAGGACGTGGTCGAGGTCGTGGAGCACCTCGTAATGATTTCGATAGAAGTACACAACCTTCTACTGGGCGAGGTTCAGGTGTGAGAGGTGGTCGTGGGCGTGGTCGAGGTGCTGGACGTGGCAGAGGTAGAGGTAGAGATAAAGTACAGGGAGATGGACGGAACGTTCTACAAAGCTCTGGAGAGAATGGGGATCTTGCTGCTCAAGATGGCGAAGAGCCGGTTGATCATGAAAGTGGAGAGAGTTCAACGGATGACGAGGACGATTTGGACGATCATGAAGATTCAGATGAAGAGAGTGATGAAGATGGTACCAATAAACCCGAAGGTGCAGAAAAGAGTAAAAAAGATAAGCATAGACCTAGGAAGGCGGCAAAACCAGTAGAAGTAGATTCGTCTTCTGTTGTTCCTGTTGAAACTCCTAACGAGGTAAGAGAAAAGAAAAAACAACCATATGTGCGACAAGTTGAACTTCCCAAGGTAAGTCTTCATCTAAGATTACACATTTTGATTGTATATTGTTGACTGAGAATGGTTCTTTCAACAGGAAAAATTGTCGGCAGCCGATTTAGATGCTAAGATGGCTGCTATGGCTATCACAAATGCCAAGCTTCTTGAACGTAAAGAGGCGGCTGACAAGGATGCGGCCGAGTACGAAGAAGTTGAACGTGAAAGTTGTAAAAAGGTATGGTTGAAGACCATAGCCATCTATTTGGTGTGTTTGGGTGACAAACTTTCTATCTGTTTTATTCGTAGCATGAGGCTCGACGCGTTCAGCAAGCTGAGATCGATGAAGCTCGAAGGTTAGCGGCTGAGCGTAAATTGGGCAAAGTTCAAGGTCGAGAATGGGATCGTGAGAAAACCGATGATGTTTGTTCGATTTATTTGAATCAATGGTCAATCTAGCATCCTGATCTGGAGTTTTTTTGCATGACTACAGGATTGGAATCGGGCGCGTCCTTATGTAGACTCAATGACGATCCCTGAAGGCGGTGGTCAATACAGAGGACGCGATCATCGTGGTCATGGCATGCGCGGTGGTGGTGGTAGAGGTCGTGCAGATCATGGCCGACCTTTCCGTGCCAGAGGACGAGGTTCTCGAGGTCGCGGATCGAAATTTACCGGTAATCACCACAATTCCCCTGGTGGTGGTGGGACTCAAGATGTAGGAAACGAAGGGAACCAGGGCGGACAAGGATGGGATCCTGTGGAGCCTGCCCCAGGCGAGAATGAAGGGAACCAGGGCGGACAAGGATGGGATCCTGTGGAGCCTACCTCAGGCGAGAATGAAGGGAAGCAGGGTGGACAAGGATGGGATCCTGTGGAGCCTGTTCCAGGCGAGAATGAAGGGAAGCAGGGTGGACAAGGATGGGACCCTGTGGAGCCTGTTCCAGGCGATAAAGAAGAATACCAACGTGGTTGGGATGAAGAACCAGTTAACCTGCACGATGGCGCCAATGGAGGGACAAATTAAATGTCTCTTAACCCACTCAAAACATTTGACAGATTACACTTGTCGGGGAGATCAAACATTGCCCCCGTCTGCGTGATCGGACAATGCGTGAGTGAAGTTTTCAAAAAAATCAATCAGAATTCATCTTTTGTTTTAATCTGACCATATTCTAATTTATGTATGATCTTTAGTCACATTATTAAATATATATACAAAAAAAAATCCAAGGATTCATTCAACTTTATTCAACTTTTCTCTTTCTTTACTTATCTGTGTGTTGTGAATATATGTTTAGACCATCTTATGATTTCTTCACTTTACTCGAAATTGCTTTAATGTTACTTTGAGTGATGTGAGATGAAAATCATTAAGCAATATCATCTTGATTTCAGTCTTTGTTCAATACTAGTACTACCATTTGATGTTCTGCAATTGACCAAACACTAAATATATATTTTGAATTGGTTTTGAACCTTTTTGTGGATACTGCTGAATTGTGAGATATGATGTTGATGAGGTCATGATTTGTGATTTGTGAAATTCTTATGACTGCTTCACATCTTGTTCAGATATTCTGGTTTCCTGACTCAACTTTGAAGGTTTGACTTTGCTGCTAAGGTACAAAAACAGGTAAAGTCTTGGGTGGCTTTCCATCAATCATTATTTGCTCACTCTTATATTAAATCCTGTCTGTGAATCCATTTTTACAGTGAAGACATCATTATTAATTCAATAAACTTCCTATGCTTCTCACGCAAACCTGAAGAAGCTCAGATTTGATGAAGGGCTCCTTGTGCACGCACCTGGTGCAATTTAAAAAAGTTTGTTCTCTTGAGTCTTGACACAAGAGGTACAATTTGATCAAGTACATGATCCACAATATATGATCTTAATTCTGCTTGTGTAAGTAATTGAACTGAGTCCCCTTCAAGGTGTACCAAAGAAAAGAACAAAGGCTGTACGCCCAAAGAAGGGAAAAGAGACGCATGGAAGTGTATGAAAAGTGAACAAATATATCATATCTTGAGTTCCTTTTTGAAACTTGTTCACCTCAAAAAGAGGTTGAAAAAGATGTTTTCTTTAGTTTGAGTGGTGATATTAGATCAATGACAAAATGGATTGAAAGATATAAATGTATCAAGTAGATTGACAGAAAGAGAAAACTCGTATATATATATTCATCAAAAGGGTGATAAGAAGAGGAATGATCTAGTTTTGCTTTGCTTTTGTTTTTCTTATATATGGTTACATTCTTACACACTATTTATAAGATACGTGAACAATAGAGGAGTACTCCTATGGGTCGTTGATTTTCATTTGATGGGCTTGAATGGATCTTGATGTTATCATAGAAGGTTAGGCTAGATGCGATAGATATTCAAGTGATAAAAGAATGATAAGTCCATTACTTTTTTACGTCATATGCTTTCTGAAAGATTGGTAAGATGAAACTCGAGAGTGAATTGAATAGACTAACGATATAATGATGTACTACATCATCTTTCTGAGCAGCTATCTCAGGACGAACTAAAGAGTCATCCCTAACAAAACTCGATTTGAGCTCAGCTTGATCTTCTTGACAGATTCGGTTCTTAAGACGTTCTAGTCTTCGTTTACGAGCCTGAGAAGAGAAATTGAAGATCGTACAACGTCCTTCTTTCCATTTCATATACACTAGGGTGATCGAGACCAAGAGCCAAAAGGCAATATAGATCAAAACCGTAGCAATTGTGCCGGTGTTGTTCCAGCCTTGATGATGGTACAGTAGTGGATACAACGGTATATTTGGTCAGTCATTGCCATTGATCATACAGAGCAGGATATAAGAAGAAGTCTCACCCAAAACACCCGAGAAGATGGTCCATCCACCGGCTGCTAATTTGTTTTCAGGGTTACCTGTTCAATGAGCATGAGCAGAGCCTGTCAGTTTGAGTGAGTTGGGGTAGAGTGCATGACTAAAATGATGTACCATAATCGAGGTGCCAAAGTAGTCCATCTACTGGAAAGGAGCCTGGCCCATCGCCGGCTTCGGCGGCATCACCACCGACTCTGTAGCATAAAAAAGAGCAAACCCCTTACATCAGAACAAACACTGAAGAGGTAGAGTTCGGAATGGATTAGAAAATGCTAACGCCTGAATGTATCGATGCATGATGAAGTACCATGTGGCTTTGGTGATCAAGCCAGCTCCGATATACATCAAAGCGATTGTTGAGACGATGAGGAAGATGCTCAGGTTGAGTCGAGCTGAAGAGCTATAGATCACATAACCGATGATCATACCCAAACCAATTCCAGTCACCGCTGCGATAGGAATTGAACTAGCAGGTTGTCCAAGGGAAACCTATCATTTAGACCAACGTAACATGATGAGTACACTGAGCTTTGGTAGAAAAGATGTAAAAATCATCAACGTTAGATGAGATTGATGTACCCCACCAATGAAGACTACAGCTTCTAATCCTTCACGTAAGACGGTTGCTGTAGGTAAGAAGAATAAAAGATATTTACTTGAACGGGTTGAACTATCCTCATTCTCAGTACCAAGAGCAAAGATTGATTTGATAAGATCGATTTTTCTAGGCTTGATTAGCTTATCTTGATCAGAATTTGAAAGACAACCTTGATCAAAAGCTTTAGAAAGTTGTAGACGCCATTTAACTTTAGCTCGATCCATACGCATCATTGTGATTCCCATGATGAATATCATGCAACAGGCCACAATTGAGAAAATACCCTCTTGAAGAGTAAAACAGGATCTCGTAAGTTCATATACACATGATCCTAGGAAAAGTAAGTAATGATACGACCAAAACACAAGGCTTACCCCATAGCTCTTCCGAGTTTCCGTAAATGTCATTGAGCTGCGTATAGTATATTGCCAAAAAGGTGGCACCGATACAGACGGAGATGAAGAGGCCAACAAATGTACCGGAGAAAATCTGTGTTATATAGAGATTATGTCGATGTCAATTAAAGACAGAAGAGTTGATTCGATTTGCAAGTCAAGACAGAAGAACCCACCTGAAGTCTCATCCGTTTCACGAGTTTATTGTCATATTCGGGTTGTGTACCTTCGGATGAGGTGTGAACAGGGTCGAGCGCATCTCGATCCGAGTCACTTAATTCAGTATCAGTGATCACATGAGAATTCCGATGTTGTGGTGTTGAAGAAGCAAGATTGGGTGTTGAAGTTGGAGACCGCTTGACGATTTGCTCGACGAGAGCAAGAAGGACGGATAGGATGATAGCGGCTTCCAAGACCTCACGAAAACAAATCAAGAAGATCGGAACTGAAAACAGACTCTTGGCCATCTGTTTCTTCAACTCGGAATTTGATTAAGTGACGACGATCAGATAAATCGAATGCAGCCCTGGCCCCTGAGTCGGAGGTCCGTCTTGAACTCAACCTTGAAACTCCGAAAATGCAGAAACAAGGAGATATCGAACGAGTGCGTCTTTAGGCTGATACACAACTGTCGAGAATATGAATATCCCTTGCTTTCTCGGCTACATTGATCGTTTTCTTTGAAGGTCAAGCAATCAGCTCAGCATTTGTAAGTGAACGCTTGGAAAACTTCCAGAGCAAAGTCTTGAAAAACTTCGATGATTTCGCTGGACAGGCTTCGCGAAAATCCCTCATTCCAATGCGGCAAGGACCTGTCGAACTTTGTCAACCTTGAGCCAAAATATCATATGCAAGACACTGGCAGAAACGAGCAAAGGTGGCCTGAGAAAAGCATCGTAAGCACATACATACAATCGATATCCAGTAATATGAGCTCAAGGAGGGAGGTTGTTCGTGATCATTCAACCACCGAAGTGAATTCTTTCTTTCACTTTGCCTTGGAGCATTTCGAGTTGGGTTAACATTAGTGGCTCTCAAACCTGACCCAGTTTCAAAAAACCCGGTTGCCCCAGTTGAATTTTTGGCTGGGAGCTGTCAACAAATGTCAACTTGATACACAAAGTTACTGCCAAAAAACAACTGGGTCAACTGGGTTTTTTGAAAACCGGGGCAGGTTTGAGAGCCACTATTGTTTCCCTTGCATACATACTTTGACGCTGCGTCTTGGAAAAGCAATACGATCACAATCTTACTACTCTCCATGGAGATCATCTGGGTGGGTCGCTTATGATAAAAAAATGGTCTTCAACACATCAACACACTCTTGGAGTCCTGATCTCATTCACAGAAAGGTGAATCGTGTAAGAAATCAGTCAGCGAGTTCCTCGCCCTCACTTGAGCTTCTCAAGCGCTGTGAACACCCCACCCAGTATTTCAATATCAGTAAAAGTTCATGACCTTTTAGTAGCAAGTCAAGATTATCTGAATTTGCGATGGCTCCATGAGCCATGTGTTTAGAATTGATCGATAGTGACAGGTACGTTCAACTACGGTTCCTTACACCAATCAAGCATTTGAAGGATATCATGAAGAGGTTTCGATCTAGGTAGATACTAGATCACTGAGATCGGCAAGATGTTATAGGATGGTACATATTGCACAACTTTCATTTTACATGCTTCAGATACGCGCAGGTGAGCTACATTCTTGAAGAACCACCAGAAGCTAGCTGAAAGGACTCCCGAGCTGAGATACGGCGCCGTAATAACTCTGTGAAATTTATCTGCTTTTCTCCTTCGAATATTCATATCTGCATGTTCTGTTTATGATTGACCATGCACGGTTCCAAACATCCAACAGAAGAAATCTCGATTGTTTAAATTACTTTTTTACACATGGATGAAGCACCAGAACCTACCAGTACATCCACCATTGGTTCGCCGCAAACAAACCAAGAATCTGAACGCCACCTCATATATGTACAATTTCCCCTTCTGAGTTCCGCTCGAGAGCCACTTGACCGTGTTGAGATTTGAGAACAACCACACGTTGGGCGGTGTTTGGAGAATAGAAAAAGCCTCTTGATAGAAAATTAGAAATCAACATTGTGTATTTCGGTTAACTAGTTTTACAGATCAAGCGAATTGATGTGGCATTCAAAAGTAAATCAAACAATTCAACAAGTGAGCGGATAACTTCGAGAAAAGAATTCGATTGAACACTCAAATTAACACATATATTTTGTATCATAACCAAAGGTATGAAAGTATCAGAAGGACCTCGTGCACATATCGTCAAGCTCAACACACACACACACACACACGCCGGATTATACATAATTTTCCTTTAATCTTACATTTTACACACTTCTTTTTCCAATCATTTTCCTCATATTTGACTTGCACTTTCTTCTTCTCAGCTTTCTCCCCTACGCCAACTCTACCTCCCCTAGTCCTACTACTCATCAATCTTTCAGAAATCATATCTGGTTTTCCTTCAAACCTTATCGGCATCGCATCCTAGTCTTTACAACATCTCTTGATTTCCATCTTTTTTTCTTTGATTATTCAATACCTTTTTCATCCTTACTCTCTTTTAAAAACATCACTGTCTCTTCTTTCTTTTTTTATTATTATTATTATTAGCAATTCTTCTAATTCTCATCAATCGTCATGCGTAGATCAAATCTTGTTTTCACTATCGCTGCACTTTCAGGATCTGCTTCTGCTTGGGTTAAGGATATTGATATTAATAATCCTCCTTATAAAGCCGATCCTGGTTCGTATGGTTATAATCAATGTGGAACAAAAGCTTCTCCTGATAGTAAATGCCAGTGAGTGAAACTTTACAAAAATCATTTTATATCTCACACTTTTTTCACTCATACTAACTCATCAAATTCATATCTTATTAGAAACATGTATTTGAGATCTTCCGAAGACTTTTGTCTATTTGGACGTAAGTACTTTATCAAAGCTCATATATCATCAATGCGAAATTTGATCCTGATTTATTGTATTTCTCAATAGCTCATGATCTTTCGGGTGTTTCTGAAACTGAGCGTGAGGCTGTTTCTTATTGTACCAAAGACGGGCATGGAACACGTCTTATTCCTCCTGGTACATTTGAGAGCGTACATTTTGTGTGAGTTTCTTGAATTTTTCTACATTGATTGTTATTTGTTAAGTTACTGATTATTTTTACTTCAATTTATGTTCAGGCACACACCCGTAAGTTTTTATAGTCGTTTGACGTTGAGGATGGCTTCTAATTTTTGTGGATCTGTTTAGCACTATGTCCAAATCACTGGTCGTGGGAACGTGAGTTCTTAAAGTCTTATTGTGATCTCTATTTCAATCCTGATGGTCTAATTTTTGCTTTGGTGTTTACCAGTTCACGAAGATTAATGTAAAAGCAGGAGATGACGGAGGTGAACTTGGTGAGTGATTCAATTTTAATCTTAAATCTTAGGGTTGATACTGATCATTTTCTTCTTGACTTTGTTTCAGATGCTGCTGGGTAAGTTATCTTCACATCAACCTTTACCGTCAGACCTTGATCGAATTTCTCACTTTGAATATAATTCAAACTTTCCTTTGTTAGTTATGACGCCAGAGGAAATCCTATCGGTGGAGTGGTCTTTGGACGAAACAATCAATTTGAACATTGGACTGAGTTTTTACTTCCTGATGAGTTTTGTGTTCGAGCTTGTTTCAAAGGTCCAGATGATTGGAGATACTGTAACCACATGTGTAAGTCATTTTACGAACTTCATTTCATTTGTTAAATCATCTTTTTATTTATATGTTTTTTTGGTTTGTAGATGATATCATGGCTTGTCGATGGAACATTCCTGGAGACTATTCACCAGGATTTGATGATTGTGAAGGTGAAGATGTACCACATCCTATGGGAGAATGTGAGTACAGAAACTTTCTTTCGATCTTTCTTTTTGAATCCCATTAAACCTTATCTCATTTGAATTTTCTCTCATACTGACCTTCATGTTTTCTTTTTTTCTTTGAATATCTAGACCTTCAACCTGATGGTAAAATTAAGGTCTGGAAACAAGGTGATATGCCTGCACCTCCACCAGGAGCACCTGGAAAGTTAAAGAGCTGTCGTCGGTAAGTCTTCTGTCCTACTATCCTGATCTTAATTTGACATGATCTGAACCTCATTCGCTACGTATCCTTAGAACTTCGTCCCCCGGTGCATTGTACAATGGTACTAGCGCAAACACGACCTCCCCTGCTCAGAACTCCACTGTTCCTCGACACAACACGACTATGCCAGGTCAAAATGGTACTATGCCTCGACGGAACTGGACTACGCCCGGTCAAAACAATAACGGCTCTATCAATGGTTCATCAGGATCTGAGGATAACTATCCTACTGGCTCTTCTGGTTACGATCCTAAGTCATCTCCGGACAACCGAACTTCTGAATCTGGCGACTATCCTACCAATTCATCAGGTTGGGCCACACCCGATCAGAACAAGACTGGTGCTACTGGATCTGAGGACAACTACCCTACTGGCTCCTCTGGTTACGATCCCAAGTCTTCGTCCAACAACCAAACTCCAGAATCTGGCGACTACCCCACCAACTCATCAGGTTGGGCCACACCCGATCAAAACAAGACTGGTGCTACTGGATCTGAGGAAAACTACCCTACTGGCTCCTCTGGTTATGACCCAAAATCTTCTTCGAACAACCAAACTCCCGAATCTGGCGACTACCCCACTAACTCATCAGGTTGGGCCACACCCGATCAAAACAAGACTGGTGCTACTGGATCTGAGGAAAACTACCCTACTGGCTCCTCTGGTTATGACCCAAAATCTTCTTCGAACAACCAAACTCCCGAATCTGGCGACTACCCCACTAACTCATCAGGTTGGGCTACACCCAATTCAAACAAGACTGGTGCTACTGGATCTGAGGACAACTACCCTACTGGCTCCTCTGGTTATGACCCAAAATCTTCTTCGAACAACCAAACTCCCGAATCTGGCGACTACCCCACTAACTCATCAGGTTGGGCTACACCCAATTCCAACAAGACTGGTGCTACCGGATCTGAGGACAACTACCCAACTGGCTCTTCTGGTTACGATCCCAAGTCTTCTTCGAACAACCAAACTCCAGAATCTGGCGACTATCCTACCAACTCATCAGGCTGGGCTACACCCAATTCAAACAAGACTGGTGCTACCGGATCTGATCCAAAGCCTTTACCGAACAACCAAACTTCAGAATCTAGCGATTACCCCACTACCTCATCCGATAGTGACCCAAACTCAGCTGAGAACCAAGTGATATCTGAAACCGGTGGTAACTCAAACTCAGATAACTTTAATACCACACCTGATCAAAACAAAACTGGTGCTACTGGATCTGAGGATAACTATCCTACTGGCTCTTCTGGTTATGATCCAAAGTCTTCTTCGAACAAGGACAACCAAACTCCTGAATCTGGCGACTACCCGACTAACTCATCGGGTTGGGCTACACCCAATTCAAACAAGACTGGTGCTACCGGATCCGAGGACAACTACCCTACTGGTTCCTCCGGTTACGATCCTAAGTCATCTCCGGACAACCACACTTCCGAATCTGGCGACTACCCCACGAACTCATCAGGTTGGGCCACACCTGATCAAAACAAGACTAGTGCTACTGGATCTGGCGAAAACTACCCAACTGGTTCATCTGGCTCTGATCCCAAGTCTTCACCGGAAAAGCAAACACCCGAATCTGGCGACTACCCCACCACGTCATCCGATACCGATCCAAACTCAGCTGAGAACCAAGTGATGTCTTCAACGGGTGATACCTCTAATCCAGATAACTTTAATATGGGATCGATTTCGAAAGATATGAAAGATGGAATGCAAAAGATGGTAGAAGATTTTAATCAAGAAGTCACTTATCCTGGTATGGATCAATCACTTATGCCTTCTGATGGAAACTCAGATCGTCATGATCATGAGAAATCAGTGACTCGAACTTGGTCTACTCAAAGTTCTTCGACTAATTTATTGACTAACCCTTCTGATTCTACTGATCCTAATGCGATTACTAGTCCTACTCAACAGTATGGTAAATCTCAAGATGGTAAAGCTGAGGATGGTAAACCTGTAGATGGTAAACCTGTAGATGGTAAATCTCAGGATGAAAGCAAAGATGGTAAATCTGTAGATGGTAAATCTCAGGATGAAAGTAAAGATGATGAAGAAGAAGGTGAATGTTATCCTAGCGAGGAATAAGTTCAACTAGATTTAAATCCTTCTCCAAATCTATCTACACTTATTTCCTTATATCCTTCAGTATGACCAAATTGTTCTATTTCATCATCCAACTTTTAATAATTTTCCTCACTTTTTTTATCTTTTATCTACTCATCATCATGATTTATAGAGTTGAACAATTCAATATAGACTTTTCTTTTTTTTGCTTTTATTTATTACTTTTTTTTTTCTTTTTCTCAAAACATTATTTTAGGTCTTGTCAATTTGATTTTTTTTTGCTTTTTCTTTTTGAAATTCATTAAGTACGTGGACAAAATAAGTTGCATGGTTTGATGTAATTTTTCTTTGACTGCAAGTTTTGAAGTTTATTTGAAGATTGTTTCATTGGATAAGTAACTGAGTGTTCAAGAGATACAAAGATTTCAACTTTGCCCATGTGTTTTGTATAATCAATTATGATTCTTTGCCAATTGGTGAAGTGTTAAAAGTGGATTGGTAAGAAGTTGATTATCACCTTGTCCTCATCACTCGATCAAGATTCGAAATCATGTTTTTATAAACACAATATTATTCAACATTGTTCAACACGAGATCAAAGATTCCTCGTCAAATTTTACTCATTTGAGTTCTTCTTGCAAGAATCTTTTTAACTAGGTTCTAAGCTTGTGCTGGCTTTGTTCCAAGTCTTTCTGGTTCTCATCAAACGTTTCACTTTTAAACTGCGAGATTCGTAGTTCATAAGAATCTTTCTTATCCTCTGATGTTCAGAGAAAAGAATGATTTGCAAAAGAACAGCTGATGTTTACGCGGTGGACATCCAATAACCAAAGTAAAGAAAACCAATGCATACAATGAATATAAAAACAAGATGTATCAAAGAAAAAAGAAGAAGAAACATGAGATGATGAAACCCGAACCAAATGAAAAAAAACGCGAACGTGCGCTAATTACAAAGATTAATCAAGGTTTAGGTACTTTAGATTTTCTAAACTCAAGTAAAGCTTTATCGATTCTAATTTTCAATCTTTTTTGAAACGAAGTTCGATAACCCAAAAGAAACAAAAGCTCAATAAACACAAAAAAGACAGCCAAGACGATAGATTGTAAAAGGTTATCTATCAGAGCAGGTGCTCTACCTTCAAATTTACCATGACCAATGAATTGTGAAATCCATCCTAAGATAAAAGTGATGAGTGAGATTGAATAAACTGAGATCGGATTCGATGAATTGATGGTAATGATTTCTAGTTGGTATAGTTGGTTTGACCATTGACCGAATGATAATAGAATTGGTGCGTATAGTGTACCTGCTATTGGATCTAGGATGATGAAGTAGGTTGCGTAGCCGATTGAAACGAGTGTAGCTAAGTTGAGTTCATAGACTGAGTCAGATCCATAGAGACCAGTGGCAAGGATAAAGTCTGGGAGATGGATCGGTTGAGAATCGAGAATGGTATTTTTGAAAAACGGTAGATAGTGGACTAAGATCAGAGCCGTGAAGAAGATGATCGGAACACAAATGATATGGATGGCTACGTTGACTTGATTGACATGATATTGACCTAAATGAATCAGAGAAAAGTGTTAAGCAATAGCGATGTGAAACTAGAGTGATGAGTTTGAGACTAAAATGAAATCACTAACCATAAAAAGCGAATTGATGTTCGAGATCAAAGAGTGTGAAGCTTGATTTTTGACCAGCAAGACTTTCATCTTCTATTTCACTTTGAGTTGGTTTACGCTTATCGATTGGTTTTGTATCGTTTGACATTATGTTTTGTTGTTGCTTGAACTGTTTTCTGATCTTGATAATGAAGTCCAATTGTAGAGTGAAGTGACGAAGTTTGAGAAAACTGATTTGAAATTGATCGAACAAACATTGAGTGCCACCACATATATATATGATGGTATGTGCCGCAGTCTGAATGATGTCATAACACATTTCACCAATTTATGAACAATCAAACACCCAGTGAAATCCAAGAACACATCATTAACAAACTCTGCACATTGATAATGACTCTGAGGATGACCAAAGTATTAGCTTAACAAAGCCCTCTCTGGAGTCTGCGCGGCCAGAGGGCTTTGTTAATCTAAACCAAAGTCCCACCTTTCTGGTTTATATACAGTCAATTCAAAATAGCTTATCACAAATTCCCCACCAATTTACTGGAGTTTTGCGGGTAACTTTGACCAAGCCTTCGTGAATTGACAGTTGTAGCATATATCCTATGCAGAGATCTTGCTCTTCTCAAGTCTTAAAAAGAGATTTCTTCAATTGCTTAACTAAAATAAGTTTCATTCCAAACTTCACAATTGCACTGTTGGTTTCTTACCAAAACATAATTTCTCAAGTCATAAACCCTATACGTATTGGTTCTGAAGATTTCAAAAGCTTTAACTCTTGATGATGATAAATATGAAATGAATCCACACAACTAGTTTGTTTTTGTTCTTGCTTCTAAATCTCATCATGATGTATAACATTTCCTTTCAAAATCAAAACCCCCAAAAAATTGATAAATAAAATAAACCTTTGAAAAATTCCAGTGTAATGTGTTTGAGTTTAAATCATCATATCGAAAAAATAAATAACTAAGTATATCGTATCTTGGAAGAAAGAAGAAGAAAACTCTAAACAGACTTTAACCAAAAAAAAAAGAAAAAATCCAGCAAAAAACAAAAAAGTAAACCTCATAAATTTATTAACAAAGAAAACAAAAAAAAACAAAAAAAATGTAATTCAAAAAGTAAAAGAAACCGATTTTTTCAAAAAAAAAAGTCCAAAGAAACTCAAAAGGTTTTTTATTTATACAACAAAAGTCAAAGAAAACCAATTTTTAGAAAATTATCAAAGAAAAAAGTATAAAAAAACAGATTTCGTGTAAACTAAACAGAAGCAAAGCAAAAAAAAGCAAAAAAATGATAAACCGAATTCCAAGATAGATATGTGTCATATATATTAATAAAAGACAAAAAAAAAGTTAAATCGTATGATAATTTCGTTCGTTCGAAAAAGTAAAATGTTTCTTAACCTTCATTTATAAATAAGATAAACCAGTCAAACGTCTTAATAGGTATCCTTCCCCTACTTCCACTCCTTCTGATTTCCTACACCTAATTGTACAATCAATCACCTAAAAGAAACTCAAAGCCACGAATTCTTTTTCGAGAGTTTTAATGTCTGTGATCATATGTAGCAGATCTAGATGACCTGATCCAAGATAAACTTCTTGAAGGTCTACAACCTATAAACAAACAATTCTCCCACCAAGTTCCTACTGAATGAATCCTTCGATTCTCTTCATTCTCATACTTGGTTCTTAACTAAAGAAAAAAGAAACATCATTTCAAACATCAGTCATCTGGTCATTTTTTTTGGTTTGGGTTCGAATTGGAAATCACTCAACTGTTTCAATAGTAGTTAAGTTTTGTAAAAGTAATCTGAAATGAAACACTCCAAGTCCCATAACAGGTGTTCCAATCACAAACGATAAACCAATGGTAATATAAGACCCGATATCTTTTTTATTTATCTTGATGACATAATAGATTCCGATTACCAAAGTGATGGCTAATAAGATTGTTGTCATCAGTAAGAAGATTAGAAATGTAAAATAGTTTCGTCTTCCGATACAATTGTTTAGGAATGTACAATGATGATCGGATTGTTCGACACAGTTGTTGCATAATCGACAGTGTGAGGTTCGGGGTGGTCGATAGGTTTGACAGGTTGGACACCCTGAGAGTTTTTTTGGAGATGGGAATCAAAGCAGATCATTAGAAATTCAATCATCGATAAACGATGAGCAAAAAGCAAGATGAATAATTTGTTATATTCTTCGAAATTGACATTTTCTTAGAATATTGAAAGAGAGGAAACGTTTAGATTAAAAAAAGTGATAGATTTACATTTAGTCATGATAGATTGATTTCCAATTTCGATCCAAAGTGGTTTAGCAGATCTTTCAATCCGATGAGGTCGACGATGTTCTTTACTGATCCGAAGTTCACCATCATCGAAATCTGAATGAATTTCAATATCTTCAAATTGAGGTTCAGGATCCAATGAACGAGGAATGATACCAGGATCAGTCCACGAAGTAATAAACATTGAAGATACTATAAAGAATTCGAAAAGGAAAAAAAAATCTAGGAAAATCAGAATGCGTTGGTCAATGAAAGAATAGAGAAAGCTTGAAACTGATTGTTACACATTAAAAGGTAAAGATAACCGTAAATGAAGATCAACACTTTCCCACCCGCCAAAAAGTTACCATACCAAAGCCAATGAGCATGAACGACAATGAAAGCAATTGGAATTCCAATAGCCGAGATTGAGCTCAAAACAAAAGGAATGAGACTATCACCACTTCCAACTAATTTACCATCACACAAGAACCGATTGTTTCCCGAATGAAGTTCAGCGTTAAGGACTCTTCTTCCAGTAGTAGGAGAATGAATTGAAATAGATCTTAAAGATCTTGAAGGTTTTTTAGAAATCGGACTTGTTTTGATTTCTTCTGATTTGGTAGGTAAAACGGTAAATGCAGTAGAAGGATTACTTGAAGGGTTTAGTTGGTTTAGACGATTTGATTGATGAGAAGTTGATGAGATTGAAGTGGTTTGATGTAAGGATGATTGAGTTTGGTTTGAGATGATAGTTTTTGAAGGGTTATTATGATTTTGAAGTTTAATGATAAGTGATTCTGAAGTTGAGTTTTGATTTTGATTTGATTGAGATTTAGATTGAGATTGAGATGGTTGAGATGGTTGAGATGGATATGTAGATTGAGTTGATTGAGATGGTGGATGATGATGATCCATTAAAGATTTGGATGTTCAAATTGAGATGCTCAAGAAAGAAAAGGGAAAAGAAAGAAAGGGGAAAAGAAAGAAAGAAAGACCCATGTACGTCGGTAAACTGGTAACCAATCAATCCTTCTCCACTCTACAACTGTCTTTTCATTTAACATTCTGTAGTTTGCAATCCAACTTTCTCATCACTTAAAGTCCGGAAGACCGTGGTATTCTCTTAAACAACTTTCTTCACACAACACGTTTCCAAGGATACATACAACCTCATACAACGCGTTCAAATGCCCACCACCAAGCGCGTTTTAAGACAGCAATAAAAGCAGTGGGTACATATGAATATCTATAGGCGATAGCAGAGAACACAGCAAACCGAACCTGCAGGAAATTAAAAAACAAGACTAAAATGGATTTTCGAGGTTTCAAATTGGGTCCCTTGTTTCATGTTACTGCAGAAAACTACGGAAGCCGTGACGTGAAGTGACCGCCACCGTTTTTTCAAAACTTCGGTTTTCGGTTTTCGGTTTTCGGTTTTCGGTTTTTGGAATTTGGGCATGTCCTTCAATTTTTGATACACACCACGGGCTACCATCACCGAGAACACCAACTGACACCATCACCACCACCAAGGGTTTATTCCACACTCGTATTTTCACTCAGCACCCACCACCGAGCATTTTTTCCACATCTGTCTTTTCACCACCAGCTAGCTATGTACGAACATCACCACCCACCACCGAGCTATCTTTTCACACTTGTCTTTTCACCAATCTAGCTATCACCACCACCACCCAGCTTGAGTATCTTTTATCAAAGTCCAGACTTGTTTCAATTATCACTCACTCAATCAACTTGGTATCATTTACAGTCAATAAACTTGTAATCAACTTGGTATCATTCACAGTCAATAAACTTGTAATCAACTTGGTATCATTTACAGTCACAAATCACCTTACCCCTCAATCAATCAACAACCTTTCTGATCAAAGAAACTGTTGGTTTTCCAAATAGGTTGAATTTTGAGGAGGTGATTGTCAAGATCAACCTCAATTGTTTGAGAACTCAGAATAATCAAAAATACTTGGCATACATTTTTTAAAACAGCCTCATGATTGAAATGTCGTAAGTTGTGTAAAACAATCAATAAGTAAGTGATACAAACTCTGTGAAATGATCAGGTTCCAGATTGTAATCACCATGATTTGTGATTATACTCTTTGCAATTCGAAGATACTTATGTAAATTTTCTGTTCAGATGAGGGCCAGCCAATTCAGCATTTTGATGTGTAGTTAGTGTAAGAATTAATGGATCGATAAGAAGTTAAAGAAGAAACTTCAAAGGTGAACACAATGAGTGTTGAGATAAGAGCTTTCAGAGTTAGTTGTGATGTGTAGTAGGATCGAGTGGATCAATTTTTTGTTGAGATAAGAGCAAGCCGATGGAGCTTTTTGATGCAATGGGTAGTTTAAACATTAGTGGTTCGATATGAAGTTGACGAAGAAATTTAAAAGGTTAACACAACAGGTGTTGAGATAAGAGCTCGCCAATTCGACTGTGATGTGTAGTAGGATCTATTAGTTTAATTTGAACTACAATACTTTGGTATTGATTGATACGATTGAAGTTGATAAGATTTGAGATGTGGTTTGATTGAGTCAAAGTCTGGATATTTGAAGGCACAAGAGTTGAATCGGTCGAGCAGTTTGACCGACTCACTGTAAATTGAGAGGGAGGCATGGTTGCTTTTCAAAAAAATTGAAGGAAATGCCCAAATTCCAAAAACCGAAAACCAAAAACCAAAAACCGAAGTTGTCACTTCACGTCACGGCTTCCGTAGAAAACAAATAAATTTCTGTTTTTTTCCAAACAAAAAGTGCATATATCACCTTGGCATAAACCACTATCTAAACTTGTAACAATATGATAGGATGATATAACCTTAGGATAAGATAGCCATTGATCAAATGAAAATAAACCTGCAACACAACAAGATATTTGCCAGCCCTAAGTAGGGCTGTGACCCGACCCTGAGGTGTCAAGGCCGGTCGTGCGGCTTTGCCCGACCCTGAGTAAACCCCAGGTGATTTAAAAATTGATCATGGCCAAACATGGCACAACCTGAACTTTGGGATACAGGGCCAGTCTCAGATTTGGGTGCACAGACAAGGTCAAAATGAGCTGAAGGGGGATATCATTTGATTTGTATTGCAAGTTTGGATTTGTGTAAAGCTATAATAAGGGCTATGAGAGCTTACTTTGAAATAAGAATTTTTTTAAGAGCCTACACCACGGAGTGGTCCGGCCCATCTGCAGACTGGGACGAAGGCCGTCTGCAGACGGGCCTTTTTTTATATAGTCACGGACCGTCTGCAGGTAGGCGCTGGTCCCACCGTATGCAGACGGCCTTTCAAATATCGCCTGTAGCCAGCCTGCAGGCCGACTGAAGATGGTATGCAGAGGATTGATCACCGGTCTGCACCGGTCTGGGACCTATTAAAGACCAGTCCTCAACAAAGTCCAGTGAGACGGCTGCAAGCCTCAATATTCGGCTAGCCAACAGTTAATTCAAAGAATGAAAATAAAATTGATTCATCAATGGCTTAAAGGATTGTTCAGGAATATACAAATGTGATAATAATGAGTATATAATAAGAAGATACAAGTTGTTTTTAAAATATAATTTTCTAATCGATTCTTCGTATTTTTTAATTAAGATATAATTAAGGGTACACAAACATTACAACCCATTTGAAAAACCCATTTAAGAAAAAATATAAAAACCCATTCAAAAAAATATTTTTTTGAACAGAAAATTCCAGAGGGACCCAATTTATTTTTCTGTTCAAAAAAATGATTTTTTAAATGGGTTTTTCTATTTTTTCTCAAATGGGTTTTTCAAATGGGTTGTAATGTTTGTGTACCCTTATTTTCCAATTGATTCTTCGTGGGTTTGATTTGTAGTCAATTTAATATCAACAGATTGGAGAAAAGAATCTAACATCATAGAAATGGTATCAATTTCTGCTACTGATCAAATTCCACCAGTTCTTGTTATAATCATTCAAAGAAAGAACAAAGTCAGTGATTGGAACCAGTCTTCCTAGATGTAATGAGAATCAATTGATCCCTTTTAAAAGCACCCAAGAGCCGATTACTAATTTATGATGTATCATCATCGTTATCGTCGATTGAATGAGATTTCAACAAGAGTGTTATGATTTTCAGATTGAAAAGATTGAATTTGAGGTTATTATTACCCATGAAGGTCAATGAGACAGACACAATTTTGATTTAATCAGCACACTTACCTCATTACTCTCAAAGAGTACTACTCAATCAGCTTTATCACCTGTAGTCTAATTCGATCGGGCTTAGGTTGAATGGACGGTGTTGTTGATGAAAAAAACAAAGTAATTTAGTTTGATGAGTGCAGGAGCTGACCGATTGGTGCAATGTCAGTTTTTTGAGAAGTTTATTGAGAGCACAGAGATTAAATACCAGTAATCGAGTTTGGCTAAGATGACTGATGGAGGTAAAGAAGGTAGTGAGTCTTAATCATGATGAGATAACAATCTGGTTTCTAATTCTGTCAAGAGTGATTGATCCTGAATGAGTTTAAAACTGGGAGCCGACGGGAGTGATGCTAAAGCTGAAGAGTTTGATAAGTTGATTTGATGATTAGATTAAATGAAAGCAATGATAATATATCTTGATGCAGATTAGCAATTGAATGAAGTTAATCAATTTATTTGATTGAATTTGGTTCTGTTTCTGATATAAATGAACCTGCTGTTGATCGATGATGAAATGGTGGTTGATGGTGATGGGATTGATGAATCCACTATTTAGGATGACCGGATGACAAGTGGACTTGAAACAATTTGAATGGACCCGAAGTACAAATGCTCCGAGCTGTCCCGAGTTCCCTTAAAAGCCATGTTAGGGAAATTCCGGATCAGGGATCAAGTCAAGCTTAGCTTGACTGATGCTTGCCTGCCGGCGGTATCAAGTCAAGCGGCAGCCATGTGACATGCGGCCGACTCAACTACAACGCACACCAGCTGCAGTCCGACTCCTGGCGGTACTCAATCGGACTGCAGCCAGTATGTAGCCGGTTCTTGCAGGCCAGTTTCAGGCCTTTTACAGGCCACTTTCAGGCGATTCTCCGGCCATTTCACGACCCCGACGATCCGCAGACCTCACCGACGCTTTTTCTGCTCAGAAACCACTCCGTGGTGTACTTAGAACTCCAAAAGAGTATATACAAGTCTAATCATGAAATGAATAAATTAAGAGAAAAAATGATTCAAAAAGAAATTCGGATTGAAAGAAATTTGAAAGTGATGATTAATTCCTATGCGGATATTTTCAAATAGCCCTGAATGAGAGGAGCCCAAACGTAACTTGATATGTGAATTGAATGAGATTTGTGACTTTGAGAGTCTTTTTTGAAAAATTACCCATTTCAGGGGCTCTTGATGGTTGGCACCATATGCTCAAGCCATTCAGATCAAACCAACTTTAAAATTGTAACATGTTGCCTTAACAATAACTGATGACCTTCCATTTTTACTTCAGATGTAAGCCTGAATTATTTAAAACTAAATCAAAACAAATATGTTGTCATGAAAGACCTTCTCAAAACAAATATTTTCAGATATTTCTAGATAAGCAGTCTCAAACAATCAAAAGGGCTCATGGAAGAAGTTCAATTCCTGTCTCTTTAGCTGGCGTCTTAATTTTCTGGAAACAAGATATTGAAGCTTTTGGGTGTGGTGAAACTTCCGGTCTCAACTTGAGTCTCTGCAACAGTCGTCTTCAAACAAAAGTTTACACTTGGATGCTGGGCTTATGATCATTCTCCCATTTACTATAGAGGTGTCTCTGTCTGATCTTTGGAAACGCACAATCCCTCCCGACAAAAAAAATGAAATTAGGAACCTGGATTTTATTGGTTTGGAGCTGTAATACTCTTAGAGGGTTAGATATCAGCATAGGAGTAGGGTTCTTTTGTCACTGAGTACATTTAAAGGTATTGAAATTTGTATTGCAAAGAGCCGGATCATCATATTTGTTCATCCGTGATGTCAATGGAGATGATGTGAAACCTTGGATGTATAAATATTTGATGCAGATAAATGATGTTCAATTGTATCTACATTAAAGATGATAATAATTTTAACTGAAGAAAAAGATCCACAATGATGAACCGGAAAAAACCAAGATAGCCTATATAGACCTAAGAACGAAACCAATATGCCGCATGAAATCTAGATGATAAGAAAGATACAATTTTTCAAAGGTAACATATTATATGTGACCATAGAGGATTTGAATGAAGATAAATTCGCATTCAAGCGATTTGTTTAGAGATTTTTTGGCTTGGGGATCTTTAAACATAGCTGTACAAAAAGTCTGTCCAACCTTCGACCACACCAGTTCCGATAGTGAAGTGGAGGCAGTCGATCAATATATGCTAAGAGAGATAGAACAGGAAGAGTCAGTTGACTTCGCTGAGAGAAATTCAATGCGTAGAATGGACTTACCCCATCAGGACGCAACATGGCCGGACGGTCAATTGACAGGAACTTGAATCTGGGGTGGCGCACTTTACTCATGGCAGCCTAAAAATTCATGTCCGCATTGTTAGTTATGCTTTCTTGAGTTGCATGGAGGGTTGATAAGGGCTAGTAGCACATAAGAAATTCAAACTGACCCGAGCAATCCTGTTGAAGATCGGTATCACCTGCCAATTGTAAACGGGTGTAAGTAGAGCTTCTTCCTCGGCCAGGGGACCTCCATCTAGCCGCTCGGGAAGATGACAGTCTTGATGTCCAGCGGTAGCAGTTCGATAGAATACTTTCTTGTTTTTTGCTCGAGGATCATCCAACATTTTATTGATGATTCGGATCCATTCCTCGAATGCATGATGGAAAACGCTTGTGACTTTGTCTAGAGGAAGATCCATGAATAACTTTGAAGTGTAATGTGCACCAGCGGAGGCGACCAACTTTGAATAACGATAGGTGGGATTCAAAAAATCGTCAAGATATAAGGATGGAGGATTGTCAAAAACAGTCTCATTCCAAGCGATTGACTCGATGCCTGGCAAAAGATTGTTCCTCTTGACTATATTCATGATTTCAGGTTTCGACAATAATAATCCGCTCCTGGGTGAGAGAAAGAAGGGTGTCGATTAACTATCCGACAAGATAGAACTCTTAGAAAAGCAAATTTACCTCAAGATTGTGACCACTGGCGTTACGTTGATGTCGAAGTCTTTGGGAAGTTTCATTTGCTGCACGTACGGTGACTCACTGTCGAGATATAGATGCTGAGTTGAATTCCACGGCACGTCTGGAGTCCAGAAAGGCGTTGCTCGTACGTAGGGGGCCTTTGAAAATCAGAAAATGTTTGTAGATGCCGTGCATTTGGGTCAGTAGCTGAAGTGCTTTGCGGGTATCACTTGAAATCCTCAAGCCAATGAGGGGTAGTAAAAAATGCTCACAAGCATACAAGAAAGGGACAAAAACCACTGTGCACTGAGAGAGTCTCCGATCAAGAGCCATCCTCCTTCGTAGATCAGTTCATTGATAAGACTATGTGGAGTCGGCTGCGGCTTCAGACGCCTTTCATTTTCCTGGCATCCCGGCTGCCATACATAGCCACTCACTTGAGCTCTCCAGTCCCACAGCTCTACGGTGTCGTTCTGGCCCCAAGGAGTGCCTAGGTTTGTCTTCGGAAGTCGATTGGATACACAATAATCCGCAGGGAAACCAGACCACTGGACTATATCTCCAAAGGAAGACAGTACGGGAGCGGTCTCATTTCTTGAAACCCATCTTCCATTGGACCAACTATCAGCAGAGCACACTGGCGAGTTCTCTTCCACCTTGAGGGTTTCATTTGCCGGAAAGATAGAATTCGTGACCAAGCCATAGATGACGACACCCGTAAGGAGGGTACAGAAGATGGTCCCCGAGGCCTTGAAGGCGAAGGTCACCGCAGTACTGATGACCCGAAAGCGTGAGCACTTCCGGTTCGAAGTTCCAGAGAAAGGTGCGGCGGAACCTATGGTGTGGTCATCTTCATTTTTGTCCTCAAAGGAATTCTCGAGGTCATCCTCAGTTTCGAGATCACGATGTGTCGTAAAGTTTTCTGAATATGGACTGTGATGTTGGACTTCTAGAGTGGCGAAACGTGCTTCTTGCCTTGAACTCATCAACGGTTCATTATCGGCATTCGAATGGTGATCATTTGTAACCGTGTTCGAAGAGCCCCACATCGGTGCCAGGTCAGAAGCTGTCGCGGTCAAGTTTCGCGAAATCGTCAAATGTAGAAAGCAGGGAGCCGATTGGGGTGGAATTCTAGAATACTGTTAATTGATGAAGAGACAAAAGAAGAAAGAATTTTGGGCAAGGCTCATAAGGGCCGTGATATTTGTTCGTCTTCTTCTATATCCCAATAAATAGGGTTGGGTCTTGAGCTTGAAACGATTCTTCTTTGATTAGATTTCCTGAAACCTGTCTCAAGTTTGGCGTTTCAAATCGCTTTATTGATAAAGGATCCAAGATATATTTAACGACTCGCTGTGTCTTGTATTGTCAAAGTTTCTATGTAAGCTCAGGAAGTCGGAATAGAGTCATGATGAAGCGTGTAGGATCGTTCAGTGTCAGATGTTCCACAGACAGGGGTGATGAAGGCAAAGATATTAATCAGATCAGAGGCAAGCATGAAACCCGTGGCATTTACCTGAGCCTACATAGCACCACGGCGACCTTCCCCTGATTTGAGAAGCGCTCGTAACGACCGACGAGGCAACCGTAACAACGCCACCCGTCATATAAGGCTAAGTGAAAGGAACCAAGCTGGTGCAGCCTTGCAAGTTGCTACCGGTCAGAGCCATGGATTGGCACTGGCAGCTTCCTTGACCTATCGAACCATGACGGTATGATGTTTGAAACTTTGTGCATGCCACCTGCCAAGCAAGTCTACACGTGGCAAGGCCTTCAGAGCTGCAACAAAGTCGGCAAAGTGAGAAATGCTTACACCGAGACTCCAACTTGCTTCGAACATAAGTGGAGAAGGTAATCCGGGTAGGCAGCGGTTTTTGAGGTCGCCCACTTCGGCTGTATGAATTCCTCAGATTTCCTTAGACTTCAAGTTGACTGCCAGTCTGCCATTGATGTGGGCAAGTTACGCAACAAGCAATGAGCAATTCCACCGCGGTGAACCCAGATCAAATCATTTTTGTTCGAATAGTTCAACCTTGTTCACCGCAAAGCTCGCTCTAACAAACCACCTGGTATCATGAAAGGCTCACCGCATATGTATCCTTCTTTCTTATGTTACGCTTTTACAAACAAGTAGGGGAACGTGAGCGATGGCTTCTCTTTGTTAAGCTAACATGAACACCATCTGGAAACTTATCTGTTCGTCACATTCCTTTAAGACTTCAAATACTTCTGTGATGATGTTCCTTACGTCTGGGAACGATGTGAAAGATGGTTTAACTCTGGCTGTCATATGTGCTGAGGCTACCGGCGACTTCTTTGACCCGGTTACCGTGATACTCGCATATATCACAATCATTTATCATCATCGGTTTCTTTTGTTCATCAAATCGTGCATTCAACGTATCACCACTATCATCAACATGTCGAAAGAACTATCGTTCCGTGACTTTAGCATCGCTGGCTTGGCAGTGCGAGCTTGGAATTATCCCGTATCAGAAACCTCTCAAGCTGAAGTAGCCTGCTTATTTTTGCTTCATGGTCGACTTTGTACCTCAGCAATGGTCGAGCCATTCACCAAGAGGATAATTGAACATGCCAACGCTCTTCCAAAACAAGCTGCGAAACATCTGATTGTCATCACCTTCGATCATCGCAACCATGGGTCGCGACTGCACTCCATAGCCGCCAATCATGCCTGGAATACTCATCCTAACATGCCTGGTACTCCGATCGAGAATCCAACGCATGCACTTGATATGTACGCGATCCAAACCGGAACTGCGGAGGACATCTCGATGTTGATCGACTTCATTCCGTCCTATCTCTATCCTGAACGCGCAAATCCCATCACCGCGTGGTGCGTGGCCGGAATCTCACTTGGCGGGCACTCCGCATGGCTAAGTGGTGCCATGGATCAACGCGTCAAATATGTTATTCCGATCATTGGATCCCCAGATTACGAAACCTTAATGCGACATCGAGCAGCCCGCTCTCGCCCGGCCATTCCTTTCGCTCCACCTCACTTTCCAGATGCTTTGGTCGAGCTCGTAAGACGAAAGGATCCCTGCCAAGCTGCATCAAGCGTATGGAATGGAAAAAACCTCCTCGTGTTATCCGGAAGCGTGGATAAACTAGTGAACTTTATCGACAGTGGCGCCTCGGCCTTTATCGATCGCTTAAAAACTCAAGCTAACTTGCAAAGTATTGAAGTGGTGGTCGAAGATGGCGCGGGTCACGAACTTACTGAATCAATGATTTTGAAGACTTGCGACTGGGTTTCGACTCACATCTTGATCAAAAAAGTAAATATTGCCAAGCTCGCTGTCCTTTAACCAAATATGAGAGCGAAATGTTTACGCAGAATGTTTGTCTTCAGTCATGAAAGTCTTGCATATCTTTACGTCACACACCTTGGTTCTGTATCATATCTTCTGATTGGATCACTCAACGCGATTTATCAATTGCACTGTCGTACTTTGATCGTCTTAGAAGTCGCTCACGCAAAATCTTATACGCGCATTCTGATACGATCATTTCAAAGCCAGGTCAAGCCATCTTGAATTCCTATTGTCTTCATGTCTACTTCTTATCACTACGCCAGGTCGGATCGCAACACTGGTGACTTCTTAGGCGCGATTGATGTCAGTTTATACAATCTTAACCTTATTTGTAATAGAACACCAGGTAAAATACCATTAGTTTCAACATCTGGTCTGCTCTGATCGAGTAAGTTGATCAACATATTTGAGTATAATCTGAAGTACCATCTGTGATACTTTCTTGAGATATAGATTGCCAACAAGACTACATGAAAAATAAGAGGCAAGGCGCAGTGATAATTGCATCAGATTGCTCTGTGCCAGTGGGCAATGCATTGTCTCACAAACTTCTGCTAAAGTCTCGACCTTCAGCACTACACGAGGCAAAGAATAGAAGAGTGTGATGCGCAAAAATTCTTCTCAAATCATGACGGATTTATCTTGAGCTCTTTTAGTTCTCCATCTGAGCTCCCCTAATGTGTAGCTTGATAAAAATAAAATGCTTCATGTGGCTAATTTGGATGCACGTAATTGAAAACAGAATCAATAGACACTAATCACTGTTCACTGGGAACCCATTGTCCACCAGAGCCTTGGAAAAATTGTGTAATAAGCATATGGCTCCTTTTCTTTTTGAATGGACTGAGTGTTGGACATCAATGGAGGAGCTTAATTTGACACAAACAGGAAAGATGACTGCATGTATCTACACAAGACATGTCTTCACAGTCCTCTCATAGATATTTCATGCATATTCATACACCTCTGGTATTATGAGCTTACCATAGCTAACATCCCATCCACAGCCACCTACAAACCAAAAGGCTTTGCCATCTTGTGAATCTGAAATCCCAACAAACAACCTGGCTTCATTCAGCTTACTTAGGGCCCGTTCGGCTGGATTTCGAAATAATCGTTACCCAAAAACGATTTTTCGATCTGCCCCTTTTTCAAGGGGCAGATTAAAATACCGAATTTCGGCTTTTTCGTTTACCGAACAGTTGACCAAATTGGTCAACGAAAGATCGAAATAATCGTCGTTGACCATTTGATCAGCGTTCAACTACAAGAAATGAAACCATTTTTTCAAACGAAACTTGATTGAAACTTGAAAATCAATCGTTTCGTTTCGTTTTCGTTTTCTTTTTCGTTTCCACTCATCCACTCATCCACTCATCCATCCATCTAGGTCATCAACGACCAAACTCTTCATTTTTTTTGTATCATCGTAACATTTCACATCACGCCATTTAAAACATCATGGAGCATCGTCCACGTGCTTCAATTCAATCTCTCACACCTGAGAAACGTGCCAAACATCAAAAGCTGCTCAAACTACAATTTCTTAAACAGCTCCTTGCTGTTCAACAACAGCAATTTCAAATTTTTTGTTACTTTAGCACTGGTGTACAGGCATGTGCGGCTCAAATCCTGCCTCATCTCACCAAAACTCCGCGTCTTACGTCCATCCTCAGCGGTCAGGCTTGGATTGATGAGCTCATTGCTAGTCAAAATAACTCAGTTTTCTACGAGAATCTTGGCATGCGTAAACATGTTTTTTTTGAATTACGTTCTGTACTTGAAGAATCCGGAATTTTATATGACTCCCGTTGGATCACCGGAACTGAGAAGTTGGCTATCCTTCTCTATACTGTCATCACCGGCCTTTCTAATCGTAAACTTCAAAATCGTTTTCAAAGATCGGCTGATACTATTTCTAAGTAATTCATCTATCTTTCATTTTTCGCTTTTTTTTTGCTTCTTTTCAAATTTTCTCATCACTATCTCTTTTGGCTAGGACAATCAATCACCTTATTAAAGGAATTTCCAACGACAGAGATTTACTCAGCAAATATATTCCTCTTCCAAATGCCAACACTCCTCTTGCGGATACCTTTTCCAAGAATCCGAAGTTCATGCCTTATTTCAAAGACTGCATTGGTGCAATTGACGGTACACACATTCCGGTCACTCCGCCAGCTTCCGAATTCATTCCTTTCTCTAATCGCAAAGGCTACACCTCTCAGAACGTCCTTGCTGCCTGTAATTTCAACATGGAGTTTATTTATTTATTGGTTGGAGCTGAAGGAAGTATGGCCGACGGTGCTCTTTGGACTTTGGCTCGAAGTCGTGATCTTACTATTCCAGCTGGAAAGTATTATCTCGGTGACGCTGGCTTTGCTCTCACCGAGAATTGTATTGTTCCTTTCCGAAAAGTTTGTTATCATCTACGCGAGTGGGAAAAGAAAGGTTTCAAGTGAGATTCCTTTTTTGTTCTTATCTTTTGTCATCAATCTCATAATTTCTCTCTTTCTTCTTCTCAATCCTTCCATCTTAGACCAATGAATAAAGAAGAGTTATTCAATCTTTGACATGCTAGTGCACGCAACGTCATTGAGCGTATCTTTGGAGTTTGCAAGAAGCGCTTTCAAATCATGGCGCACGGGTGTGAATACACCATCGAGATTCAAATTTCAATGGTCACGGTGATGTGCTTTATTCACAACTTTATTTGTGTCAAGGATCCAAAAGGTTCAGCTGAAGAATTCCCTCAATTTGGAGAAGGATTTATTCCCGAACCTCAAGATACTACGGAAGCGCCTACTCAAGAACAATCTGGTTATCTTCAAGCATTTGGTAGCACTGCAGAAGGAAATAACTATGCTAAAAATCTCAGAGATAGAATTGCAGAAGATATGTGGAGGGATTACTTAGTGGAGACCGAAAGAAGAAGAAAAGTAAACCGAAGTAAACAAAGACATGGACTACCTCCCATGTATCCTGGTGTTTAAATCATATGTAGCTATTTTATTTTATATTACATCTCTTAATCAAAGCATTTTTATCTCATGTGTATTACAAGAATCATATGTAGCTAATTTATTTTATATTACAACTCTCAATCAAAGCATTTTTATCTCATGTGTATTACAAGTCTCACTTAGAAATATTGTTTGTTATCTTACATTGATTAATCAGATCTTTTGTTTTTGTTTGTTCAATGAAGGTTCCTCTGAATTCATGATCAGTTCATATGAATTAAGGACACATACATAGGTTAACATTGCAATCAGTACCAAATCAGACAGTCACAGCCACTACACTACACTTGTATCAGCATGTATATATATATACAAGTGTAGTTGATAACATATTTTATATAAAGGTTTAATAGTTTTTTATTTAGAATAAAACAGCACAAGATTTTTATTTAAAGGTTTAATAGTTTTTTATATTTAAGATCAAACAGCACAGCATTCTTATTTAAAGGTTTAATAGTTTTCTATCTAAAATATAAAAACGTGGAATCGACTCGCATGAAGTACCGTGTCTTGGATCTGGTTCACTTTGCTCCAGGTCGCTTTTCATGCTTTTGAAATGTTTCATTTCAATTGTGATAGTGTTGTGTTGTCTTTGTTAGTGCTTCCCGGTGCTTTTATCACTCTGTGGAGAGTAAGCACTAATGTGTGCAATCACACTCTTTTTGTTAGTCGATAACAGTCAGAATACAATAACAGACAATAACATTATATTTTCTTTGTTAGTGCACGACTGTACTTTTCTGCCCAGTGCTTTTCCCACCCGTCGATTAGAAGCTCTACCTTTTCATTATCACTTGTCTGTTTTTGTTCGCGTTTGTTGTGTTTAATTGTACAATCATATTCCTTTTAATCTTTTGACCTTCAACCCTTTTGTTCCTTTTCCTTGTTATCTTCAATTACAAGCTTTTCCAATGCTTGTTCCAAATTTTGTGTATCTCGCTTGGTATATGTTCATTTTCACACTATAAAAAGGCCCTGATGAGTTCTCCCAATTGCTTCACCTCTCCCAAACCACTTCACACATGGATAATCCTAGCAACACATCCTCTTTATATACAAATATCTTTATTATCATTGTCCGTTTCATTTTACTCTCCAATCAACTACTTCCTCTGTTGTCTTGAGTCTCGCCATTTTGTCTTCATCTCTGGTTGATTAAATTGTATACTCAGCCTACGCTCTGAAACTTTCATATCTCTTCCATATTCATATTGCCTTGCTTGTAAACAATTTGATCTTTGATCGCGAACTTTGCTATTTCTTATTCCAAATGCTCAATCTCCTATGACGAGCTTTTCTACTCTTCCTCTAAGTTTGTGTCTCACCCTTTATATATGGTCACTTCCACCCTATAAGAAGGGCCTATTGCACCCAGCTTCATTTCTTGAACTCTCACAACCAATCTGCCTCTCCCAAGTTAATTCAAGCTTGAATCTACTTACCCACCAATCCTCTCAGTTTCCAAATATATTTATCCTGCCAATAACTTCACAACTTTTACCCCTCACATGCAGCAGATATGTAGTGGTGTACTCTTGAATTTATTTTCATTGAACAACAATCAGGTGAAGATGCATTACAACCTAAATTGATGATTCTTACCACTTTCAAGTCACTTAGTTTTTTGTTTCTCTTTTGACCTTCTGCTATCTTGGCCAACATTTGTCAGATTTCAGGAAGAGAGAAAGAGAGAGATAGGGAAGTATAAAGAGCCAAATAGAGAAAAGCAGTTATTTTTCTACTCCTATAGTCTCATGACTGTAAGATCAACCACACTGATGAAGAAAAATGATGACGTTACATATGGCACAGAGTGTAAGGAGATTAAAAAGTAGGAGACACTATTTTTGAAACTTCTCTGTACTATAAAATGACATAATTGATTTTATCCAATCCATCAAAAGAGCTTAATTATTTTTGATCTCTCAGCAAAAAGTGCACATTTCTCCTCTTGATAATGAAGAAATAAATTGATTTTTTGATAAGGGTTGGTAACTTCAGTCTGATTTCTGACAAAGAACCATAATCATACATCCATTCAAAGCTTTTAGTCAGATTAGAGAAGAGATCCAACCATTCATCATGAAGAGAGTTGTGAATTTCTTGCAAAATTGACTTTTATTAATTTTTTCCATTGATACTTCTCAGTTATAAGATAATTTGGCAAATCATGAAGAATGATAATTTAGGTTCAGCTTCAGTAACAAGTTGGTGCCAAGAGACTGACTTGAGTTCAAATCTGCAACTACTTTGATCATTTTGAAATGAAACTACAGAAGCATTATGCAAAGAAAGTGAGTCCATCATTGTTCTGTGAATAAAGGAAGAATCAAGAATGATGTCTTTGT